AGAACTGATGATGAAAAGTAGGAGTGAAGAAAGTGGCCAGCTACCAACTGTGAAGGCCACGTGGAACAAAAGGGAAGCTGGAGTAAAAGAAGTGTGTACCTATACGAAAAAGGGCAAATATTCGGACAGGCCGCATCAAGGGTGTATAACGTAGGTAAAAAAAAGTGAAATGGAGGCCTGAAAAAAAGAAAAATAAAGAAGAGTTAAATAATTTATATTCAAAGATAGAGAAGATTTTATTCATTTTTAAACTTCGTACTCAATTTTTAGGGAATTATCTAATATACAATGTGTCCAGTTAGGTTCGTAGCATATGGTAAACATTTTTATTATTAACATTACGAAAAAAATTAACAAAGTCCCCGTGTGAGATCGAAGGGACTTCAGCGCATTTTTGTGTGGCAGATCAGTATTCTATTAGCCACTTTCAACTCAACCATCAATAACAGATCTTGTCGAAGGCTACTACATTCACTAACCGCTTCCCACTTTCCGCGTGCACCCGCAATGCGCTTTTAAAGTTTTGACTCCACCATCAGTAAGATCGTGTCGGGGGCTACCACATTCCCTTTGACGGTAGCCACTTCCGACGTCCCGTTCACCCGCAATTCGCTTCTATTGGCGACACGAGAAAGAGAGACAGCGATTCGAGATTTACGAAACGTTAAACCGCGTGAGTTCGCAACGGAAGGTAAAAGGCGCCCGAAGTTGACTACTTCTAGAAGACGCGCGCGCGCGCCTCGCAAAAGGTCGTTAATTTCGCCCCTATGACAAAAAACAAAATTCCGCCACGCAGGAGTTGTGCGCGTTTACAACATCTTTCCGACGACACCCATTTGAAAAGAATCGGACCAAAACTGTAGTAGAAGATAGGAAAAAACTGAAAAACCTTCACGTTAGTATACTACGCTCGAGGATGAGGCCCAGATGTCGCCAACCCCACATCATGTAGCCATGTACACCCGTTGCCTTTCTACAAGAGTTCTTCTACGCGCCCACATTTGCAGCCAGCCAGCCAGCCATCCAGCCAGCCAGCCAGCCAACCAGCCAGCCAGCCAGCCAAAGTGAGATTAAAAGCTACTTTTTACAAATAAATTTGCAAAGATGCGCTAATAAATTTGCAAAAATGCGCTAAAAAGTTCGTCTTCTCAAAAAGTTCTTCTGAACCCTAAAATACTACCGTCAGATATCAAATTTTCAGTCCTATACGAGGAATGTCAACTGTTCATTTAGCACAGACCTACTTTCCCTTCCCACTAACAGTCCAAAAACAGAAGAACTGTTTAATGTGTAAAATCTTACCTCTTAAATGCCTTTATTCATTAATAAACGTTAAACAAATCAATGGTTTTTCTTTAAATGATAAGACATGCAGGACATGCAACGTTTTGCAAACGTTAATTGTCAGTGTGCTCCAAAATGGAGGATGGGCTTACGGACTAAGCTTACGAACGACTCAGCTATGGGATACAGGGTGGCAATTTGAAAACTTACCGCCCTTAGTTACCACTTAGTAAATAAACGAGATATTAAAAAAAATCAAAATCCGTTTCGGTAATTCGGAGGGGGAATCACAATGACATAGTTGACGACGCACCCCCTCCAACCCCCTGCGCCCCAGTCACCCCAACTTTTAAATCTTAAATAGTGAATAGGGATTTCTGCAAAATTTGGTCAAACATCGACACCCTTATCACCTCCAAAAACGACCTGCTGGCGTGAAAAATCCGTGATAAAAACGTTAACGAAAAAGGTTTAAAACGCACCAAAGAAGGATGAAGACAGATGATGTGTTAAAGAAAGTAGGCGTGAGGAAATTGTATATAAAGAGAACCACTATGGAGGTGAAAATATAGTGAAGGATGCGGTAAGTGTGCATGAAGGTAGGGTAAAGGAGGAAAGAAGAGGGCGTGGAGAAAAAGAGACACTTGAAAGGACGAGACGGAGTGAAAAAAGAACGCGAAAATGGAGAAGGAAGGGAATGTGTGAATGATTGTGGAGGCAAAAATCGTAACGACTTGAAGAGAAAAGCTGTCAATTAACTGGCCGTGAGGGAAGAAGTTCAAAAATGCCGTGGAAAAAGGTGTAAAATAAATCTTCACGGAACGATACCTACATCAAAGAACCAGAGCTGGGCAGTATTCGATTTTGTAAATACTTTTTAGTATTCAAATCCTTTAAAGTATTCAAATACTTTGTAATTAAATACGTTTATGGAAGCAGTATTTGTATTTGTAACTCAAATACTTTCACAAATATTTAGTATTCGAATACTTCGCAAAGTATTTGGATACTTCGTAAAGTATTCGAATACTTCGCATAGCATTTGAATGCTTAACCTTCCTTTTTTTTATCAAAAATCGACTACTCCAAAATTTCCGGGAAAACACTATTTCTCATTAATTTTGGTGCGTAGAATCCAAAACAATTCGTACTTTTTCGATCAGACTTCTCAATCAAAAGTTATAAACTAGAAACCAATTTCGAAAGAAAATTCAAAGGGCTGTAACTTTTGAACCAGTAGCTCAATCTTGGAACTGTTTGAAATTATGGACTCTACAGGCCACATTCTATAAGAAAATTTTTTTTTTCTACAACTGTCAAAAAAACCTGTCATTTTCTGACGGATTTCGAAACGCGAAGTACTAGATTTTTAATCGGTTAATTAATAAGTAAGGTTGCTCTTGACAACGTGCGCGAAATCGTCAACAGTGAAAAAAAGTATTTCGCGCACGGGACAAAGTTGAACTTAAACAGCAAATTTAATTAACAATCGGTTCAGTTGTAGAAAAAATATTGTATATAACGCTAGCGCGAAGTTATTTCGCGCATTTGACTGATATTTTAACTCGGCTTCGCCTCGTCAAAATACCTTCAGTCTCAATGCGCGAAATTGAACTTCGCGCTCTTGTTATATAAATAACTATTTCGGGTCGATCTGAGACAATTTTTTTTTCGAGCCTCAAAAAAGGGCAGTACTTTTAAGTTATTCAAATATTTGAGAACAATTTAGAAATGTTTAGGGAAAGTTTCCATTGTCACAAAATCAAATATAAAAATCCGATACAACTGAATACCGAACGATCCTGGAGTGAAACTTTTTGACTCGATAGTTTACGTAACTTAAAAACAATAGGGACCTTTCTTATATCCTTAAGACCATGTGTACCAATTTTCAAAGCGATCGCACGTTTCTAAACAAGTTATCATGCACACGGACAAACGGATGGTCAAAAATGGATCTGTTCCAAAATCGCTAGGATTAATTTCAGAAAGGCGTACGTATCATGTGCACGACGGTTTGAAAACTGGTACACGTATTCTTAAGGATATAACTGGTATAAGAAAGGTCCTGGTAGGTACCTCCTATATAATAATAATAATACGCTTTTACTCCCCTTAAATTTGTATATCGGGTGATCAAAAAGAACTGCAGACAGTTTAAATTGGGCGCTTTAAGTTTTTAATATTTTTTACTTAAGGAATTGGCAAACATGTTTAGAAGGTAGTTTATTTATGTATTAGTGATTAAATTGATCCACCACTGCTTTTACATAAATGACATTCGGTATGTTATCAACGTTATAAATGTTTAGTTTTACGGAAAATTCAAATTGTCCGCACTACTTTTCGATCACCCGGTATAACAATAGAAATATAACAAAAGCTAACCCCATACAAAGTATAACTTGATTTTTTAAGTAGTATTAAGACTTTTATCTAGTATACTATTTTAAATTTTTAATGTATTTGAGTGACAAGTATTTGAATACTTTTTACTGTACTCAAATACTTTTCAAAGTAAGTTAATGAAATACTTTTCAAAGTTTTCGAATACTTTTTATAGTATTCGAATACCTTTGAAAGTATTCGAATACTTTTGAAAGTATTCGAATACATTCTAAAGTATTTGAATACTTATTTTTTTAAAGTATTTGAATACTTTTCTATGTATCTGTATCTAGTATTCGCTTGTGCTGGACGTAAAAGTATTTAGTATTCAAATACCTTTGATTTGTGTAAAGTATTTACTATTTAGTAATCAAATACTTTTTGAAAGTATTCTGCCCAGCTCTGCAAGGAACCACGCGTAAACAACATGCAGAGCGTGGAGGAAGAAGTGCCATGAAGATATAACGATAGCGCGAAGGAACCTGAAAAAGAAACACACGAAAGAAGAACGAAGATAGCACAACTAAGTTTTTAATTGTAAAGAACAACATAAAATCACAAGATGGATTTTTTTCATGTTCAGGGAGTACCTCCTGGTAACTGATGTGCGATGTTAATTCGATTCGCACCCTCATATTACACTTATACACAGAATTCATAAATATATTTTGTTTTAATTTTTGCATAATCCTAAAAAGATGATTGCTATGAAGTGATGGACAAATCCATGTCTAATAATATTGCGAATCGTTACCGTGTATGAACCGTGAGCGAACATTTTCGTTTCGGTACATTATTGGATAATTGTGCTAGTGCTTAAATGAATTGTTACCATGAAATCGTTGGGGTCTAAGGTGGAGAACATTTTGTTGCGCTGTATTTGGAATGACGTTTCGTTAAAAAAAGCAATCAAAGTTATGCAGATAATTTGTTTGTACGAGGAGTTAATAATATTATAAATAAAATGGCAACCGGTAAAAACGTTATAGACAATTAATTCGTGCTTTTATTGGCTGTAAAAACTCTAAGTTATAAGAGTAATTTTGGGCATTTCCATTTTACGGAACGCATTATAACCAATGTAAAGAATTACTGACTATATTTGACGCTCCATGGGTTACCACATATCATGTGCCCAACCATTACCATATGAACTTGTAAAAATAGAAATGTAATTTATAAAATGGGCAAGCTTGAGGAAATACTTATGTGGAAAGAATCGAGGACACAAGGTTTGTAAGCATCGGTAGGTAGGTACAAAAGTAAATACAAAACTTAAAATTCAAATTTTGTTTAATTGATAATTCCAGAAGTAAACAATGTTACGCTTACCTGTCATGGCAGTCACCGTTAGCACCCACAGGAACATCAAAATCCAATTCATCATAAATCTCGTAAGGAAGATTTTTTCGGAGATCCCACTTTACTCCAGTCGCGCGTAAATTAGTTCCTCTGAAAATATATGTAGGTGATTTACGTCGTTGATTAAGATCCAATAAATGTTTGGTTTAATGTTTCATTTTATATGGAAGTATTTTTCTTGTTAGACCAGTTAATATTGAATTATTTTGCCGAAAACAATCACCATGGAGTGGTGTAACAGATAATCTCAATAATAAAAGAGTACACTTACGAACAACCAGTGTTAATTGCATCTTCCGCACTAATCGCCCCAATGCCTACATTCCTCGCTAACCAAATTCTGTTATTTGTAGTTACATCTTCAATTTCGTCTAGACGCTGACAGAACCGTTCAGTAAAGAGCTGTATATCGTCCAATAGCCCGATTGGTAGATCCTGAAGTGACAAAGCAATTTGTATGCAAGAGTTTTTGGAATGAAATGTATGCCTACCCGTGCAACACCTCCTACCCGAAAATATATCGAATGCACTCTTCCGCCACTAACCCGTTCACAAAATTCCCAGATTTTTTCTCTTTCTTCAAATACCCAAAACACTGGTGTTATTGCACCCGCGTCCAAAAGTTGAGATGCTGCGCTTAACCCATGGCTCAACAAACGAGTTAATTCAATAAAAATGGTTCTGATAAACTTTGCTCTTCTCGGTATATCGATGTTTAGCAATTTTTCAAGTGCCAAACAGAAGGCGTGCTCATTGCACATGGGAGACACGTAATCAAAACGATCGAAATATGGTAAAGCCTGTAAGTAAGTCTTATGCTCGCAGAGTTTTTCGGTACCTCGATGTAAGTGCCCAATATGAGGATCAATTCTTCGAATTACTTCACCTTCGAGTTCACAAATCAATCTCAAGACGCCGTGGGCTGCTGGATGTGCTGGCCCGAAATTAATTACCATATTTCTAACCTTCTTCTCGACCATAGGTAATTTTCCATTCCATGGTTGAATTTTCCAGTGCTTGAATTTTTCTCGATTGAACATAACGGGTCCATCAAATTGGCGAAACCATTCCGCATCGGGGTACCACTTTTGCATAAAACGTGTATTTGGGCGTGAAGAAATTTTCATTAAAATACGTGATAGCAATGACATTTTGTCAAATTATATTTTTGCGCAGTGTCTAAGTACGTTGTTGTCCACTGACACCAAACTGGGCAACGCGTTCATATAAACATAGAATTTCATTTTAAATTAACTAATTATAAGTAGATACCGCATTGAAGTACGTATTGAAAAACTAAGCAAAGGTATCATTCAGAAGGTTAGTAAAAATACAATATGTTTATAAAGGTACCTACCTAAATAATAATTACTTATTATACAAGACAATGGTTAGTTTCCCTTTATCATGTATATTACAAAACCTTATTTTATAGCAGAAGCATAAGAAATCATTACAAAACTTCTGAAAATTCTATAAGTATTTAATTTAGACCTCCAACATAGCAAGCTTAGGTTCCCTCGTCGTTTTTAAGGAAAGAATATTGCATTCTATTCTGAACTTCATTTTATATCTTTCTCCGCGTCCCATTTTTAATAAAACAGATGTCGTTAGAATGCACAATGATTTGTTACATTTTTCGTTAAAGTGATCATTTTATCTGCCCTTACGGTTAAAACGACACTTCGTCTACGTATTCAAACCTATTAAAATGTGAATTTAACATATGCTAGAAAATTACAAAAAAAAATATGTGCAGCACTTAAGGACATAGAGTAGTGCTTTTTTGCCACTCGGATAGTCAGGCCGAGAAGTTCCATATGTTAAAGTGGCCCCTAGAGATCAAGTTGTGCAGGGATCGGTTATGGCGCAAAGATACACCGAATAAGTTTGGTTTGCACTTACAAGCCATATTTACAGGGTGTCTCAATATTTGAAATAAAAGAAAATCATAACATTTTCATTCAAACACTTACCTGCAAAATTTTCTTAATTACTTTCTTGGCTTTCTGACCTTCTTCACCTTCTTTGGATAGGTCGACCTCTTCCACATCCCTCTGAACCTCGTCCTCTTTAACATTTTTTCGGCTTGTTCGACTACTTCGGCTTATTTTATCAACGCCCTCTGCTCATCGGTTCTCCCGAGTTTCACGGCAGCTTTTTCTTTTTCTTCGTGATTTACGGAATCTTTTGTCTCTAATTTATTCGTGTATTTAGGTTCCTTTTCCTTCTCTCACTTTTACCTTTAATTGTTTCCACAGAGTCATTAGTACAGAGCGAGATCCCCAAAGTAAACTCATCCATTTCTCAGCTTCCTCGGTTGCCTTGAATCTTTAGCTTATCTTCATTGCACTCTTCAGCACCTTCGATTGCGTCAACTTCACTGGCCTTTTTGGCATCAGTTGCAATGGGTTTCCATATAAAGGGGGTCTCTTCTTTAAAATAAAATTTTGACGTTCTAAATGAATTTAAAAATTCTTTAGCAAAATAACTGACGTACCATAAATGTTACTTGAACGCCTGTTTTGCTTTTAGAATCAAACATAAAATTACTGTAAAGGTTTGGACGTATTGATGTAAAAAATCAAAGAATAACTAGATCAAGTGACCTTATAAATAATGATAATCAACCCATGAGATTTTCTTGTTTTAAATGGGAAACTGATTTTCTCTATCAAATTCAAATGGGTTCATCAATAGTAAAAATACATGCAATACAAACGGCTTCAAATTTACCCAGAGGTTTAAGAAAACACAGATTTAAACTTTCAGCGATTATAAGTTACGATGATTTTTGTGAAAGATATACATTATACAACCCTTATTTTTTTACATAAATAAACGAATCTCGTAAAAAGAACCTTCTTCTGCAAATAGAACGAGCTCGCACGGCCCTCCGTACATTGACAGTATTTCGAAAAAATCAAAGAATGTAGCTGTAGATTGGAGCTTCCCGTTGGGAAATGGCACTGCATTAAGTTCTCAATCAATTGTTCTCTGGATGTAGTTTTTTCGAACGATGCATTTCTGTGTTTAGATTGTAAGCAAGCAAGATTCTTATTGGTATTAAAGTTTTATAGATTACTTCTCCACCAATATTTTTTGCAGAACAATTTTAGTATTACGATTACGAATGCGAACTACGCACTAGCACTAGCGCCAATTATCCTTTGTCGAAATAGGATCATTTTTTATGCTAGAGAATCGTGTGTATTTTTGCGTCCGATTCCAGAATAATCCTCTTTTGTTGTGTAATAAACTGACACATTCAATTATACTTGCTTCTGTGTTTTTATTTATCCAACTGCGGACACACGCGGATATTTTCTTCCGCGTAAATTGTCGTAATCACTTTTTCTAACAGACCGCCAAGCCCGAATGAATGCAAAATCTTACTATGGACCACACACTGGTCGTATCGATGGCTCAAACGCGAATTGGCTTAAAGTCTTCCGCAATAACCGCTACTTCATTTCTTACTTCTTTTGCAAATCCCACGATATGCAGATGGCCTAATGCCTAATTCGCAATTTTAATCGTGTAGCCCTAAGTAAGATACCGAATCTAATCCAAACTCCAGACTGACAGGCGACACCGATTTGCGGAATTAGTTATTTGGTCAGTTCACTGACGTATAACAAGAAACAACAGTTAATTCCACCAACTACTTACCAATCTTTACAATTCCACCAAATAGAATTTATTGGATCCTCTAATTTTTACACCCTGAAGACGTTCTATGATTACTAATCTAATGCCTAAACTGTGAAGAAATAAATCGAAATTTAGAGCTACCGTTACCGTTAGTATTTATATAATTAAAGGATTTTACAAGTATTACCTCACAAGACACAAAGGGGCCCCAAATAAAAGTAGTGGTGAAACGCCCCTGATAGTACCTATACCAGGGACGCATCCCCACGACAGTTTACTAAGGGCCGGTATTTCCATCTCGGGATAAAGTCAAGTATAAGATATCTTCCAGGTAAACCGACAGTTAGCGTCGCTTCGGGTATTTCGAACCTCGTTTAAATATTATCGGCAGGATAAACTCTAAATAAAGTTATTGGGTAGATTTTCTGGAGTTATCAATATAACCCCTAGATATTGCGTAAAACTACTAGTAGACTGGTGACGTTTTAAAAATTTGCGAAATTACCAACCGTACTTATACTAAATAGGAAGAAAGAAATGGAAGTATGCAAGTAGAAGTACTCAAATACATACTATGTTTTCTTGAAGGATATAGGTAACCTATTTTAGATTCCAAATGGATCAAGATTTTCTTGACTTATTCGAATCCGATGACGAAGAATTATTTAAGGTGATCTTTGCATACGATTAGCTTCGGCTGTACGATTATTTATTCCAGACTTTGCATTAAATTGTTGGGCAATATTCTCCCAGCAATTATTTTTTTCTGCTCAAGTAACACCCATCACTGCGTTTATTTTCCAGGACGTCCTTGTACGCGATAACCAAATCCACAAGCACACGATTTTCAGATGTGCTGAAATTAGCAGTTCTTTTCTTTCTACGAGGTGCATTTACATCACGATTTTGGTTCATGTTCAGAGTACCTACTCATAAGTAAGGCTTATTCTGTAATTTACGTTTGACAAATATATTATAAGTCACTGAATTTCTTTCAAAAACAAAAGCATTCGTTCAAATTGTCAGGTAGTAAGCTATCTTTCTCTAATATATGGCTCTGCCGTTCGCTATCTTTTTCTATTACAGACTTCTAAAATCGGCAACATTGGCTATGGTTAAGTAGCTATCTACGGGATATATTTATACCGCACGCCAATGGAAATACCCGCAGATAGATAAACGGAAGATATCGGGCGGTATAAGTTATTTTGCAGGTAGGAATCTAGTACTTTATCCGAAAATGGAAATACCGGCCCTAAATCCTGGGAGAGGCGGCGACGCCAGGCATATGTCAAAGTTTCAAGTTTCAAGCTACGCCACTAAGAGCCGAATTCAGAGTCCTTCCTAATTTCAAACTCACACTCAACTAGTTAGTCACTCATTTCTAACTCAAGTTAGTGAGAATCCTGCTCATTCTCACTTTTGGTATTCAGAGAACATCTGTATTGAGTGACTAATTTGAGTGGGGTTTTAGTATGGAATCTGTCAAAAATATTGTTAGGGGAACGATTGGTAGTGGAAATTTTACCAAGTAACTAACAAACCGCTCTGGAAAGGCTAACTTCAGCATAAACAGATATTTAATTTGAACTTGTTTCTGACGTTTTCGCAAATCTCATAGTTTTTGTTAGTCTTCTTATTAGTTTATGTTATTGGGGTTATTAATTTTGTTACTGTTAATATTGTTCTTATCGTCATAACTATGAACGCCAATAAAAAACCATTTATAACCCGAGATGAGAAGATTTTTAGCATTGGAAATGCTTATGTTTTGTAGGGGTTTGAAGTTACTGGTTAGTCGAGCAGAAAAGAAGACAATTGGTGTCGCATCAAGTGATGATTGTCCCGTACTTGACTGCAATCGGTAGATTCAGGAAAAGTCGCGGATACTGTCGATACGGTAGGTACTTACTTAACAGTGCGCAAGGGTTTTGTTAATTCGAATCTATAAAAAAATATATATTTAAACACGAGCAAGCTTGCGAGCGAGTGGAGCAAGTGATACTTGTACGGTTATTATTTCCAATGCCTCCGATGGTTGCAAGGATTGCGAAATCTGTGAATTTTTTTTAAGAAATTGTGACCCGGTATATTAACATCGTCGAATGTAAGAAGATCGATGCTGTGTCCGTGTCACAACGAAAAAAGGTCTGGCAGGCAATCGTGTCCTAGTCCTTACTTACTAAGATAATGGCCCGTATGAATAAAAGTAAGCAAATGCTTATACTTGCAAAATTCAAAGTAAATACTCGCAACTGCCCCTTCATACTGGTCTGTTTAGCATGGTTTAGCAGCGCTGCACTGCGTCCTGTCCTTCTGCTTAGAAGCGCTGCTAAGTCGCCCAGTGCGAAGGAGCACTTACGAGTATTTACTTTGAATTTTTCAAGTATAAGCATTTGCTTACTTTTATTCATATACGGGCCAATGTCTATAACAACACACTTAAAAACTACTTTGCAATAAAATATTCTAACAAACACAGGAAACACATTTGACATAACCAAGTTATTTTAAATTAGTGACACTTAAGGGTAGTCCAAAGCTGACTTACATCGTACTCATCTCTTACTCACTAGTTAGTAAGATTTTAGTCACTCATTCAGTCTAATTTGTTTCTGAATACCAATGTCAGAGTTTAGGTTGAAATTAGTAGGATCTGAGTGTGAGTTTGAAATTAGGAAGGACTCTGAATTTGGCTCTAAGTATTTAGGACTGGGAACCACTTCTTCAATATTAGGTGCTGAACATCGACATGCGATTTTAATAGTAGGGGTTTATCGTGCACAAGCAGGTGCACTGAGAAGCAAAGAAATCGAGTACAGGTGCACTCCTAACTAAAGTGGATTGCGAGGGAAAACTCAAAGCGAAATATTAAACAGTAATTATCAGGGTGTTTATTGTTTACTAAAATAGCAACCCCCTCCCAAAAAGTCAATTACACTTTGAACATAAACATTGCCTGAATTTTGAGAAGTCGTTTATTCCACCGAATTAACTGAAGAAAAATGTCCCCAAGGAACAGACCATAACTGCAACTCTCCTCGATTATTGCCTACTGCAACAATTGTACAACTAAACAAGAATGGATTTCATTAGGTATAACATAAATAGTTCTCACCGTTGCTTATTCACTTCAATTTGCAATAACGAAGTGGGCAATACCTTATCAGTAGATACGTTGGGTATCGGTTGACCGGAAATTAAATGAAATATTTCTAATAATCCTTTCTTGCCGCATCCCGTTATAAGATGCTCATGAAATGGCACCCACGATACGTGATATAACTCTTCCACAAAAATAACTCTAGCCGGAGATTCCTGCAAGAAAATGTTAACCTTCCAATCACCTACCCAGGAGCGTACCTGCTTGGTTAAATAAATTCGTATTTCACCATCGGTGCCGCAAGACATGAACATGTCCTTACGATTTGGAGAAAAACGTACAGTGATAATTTCACCTTCGTGTGGTTCATAGTACTTCATCACCGGATCGAATATAGGTACTTCTTTGGTAGAACCTGAAAAAGGAGAGATGAACCCGCTAATCATGCGGGAAATAAATAAATACCTTTTAATTTATTAGCCGCAGTTGTTGAACCCAACACAAGCAAGCCACCCTCCACGCCAGCAACAAATAGATCATGCGTGTGAGTGGAGAAATCAAAAGCTAAGATACCTCGGACAACCTTTTTGGATATTTCTTCTGATGTGGATTTCTGGAGACGAGCTAAGACGGGGGATTTGATCTTGTATCTGAAATAAGACATTGTAAATGCATGGTGACATTGTAAAGATAAGGTTCGTATTTCTCTTTTGAATTTCGGAATAGTATCCTCATACACCTTGGTAAACTTATTGTCAACCCATTAATTGATAGCGTGAGCCAAATTGTATACCCGCCCCACTCTCCACTCTATTTTTGATATCTTCCATCTATATACTTCACTCACACGTTGACCCATATGGATCGATTTTTGAAGTCATTTAAAGCAATTAGTCAACAGCATACTTTTATATAAGGTATTCGAGATGAGAATGACGGGGGTGAAAAGTTCGACGAAGCGCCATATAAGTATTTATTCAGGCACTTTCGTTCCCTTCACTGCTACAGGAATAACTATGAGCATTTGGAAATATTCATTGAATTTCATTGAAAACCGAATCTGTATTCTAACCCCAACTGAGGCAAATAAAGTTTAGGTCATTCGTCCTATTTTTGATAGTTTACATATCTATCTGTACATCCATGGCATTTTGGAAAAACTTGTATTGACTTTCTGATTTAAAACCGGTAGTCCACAATCTACTTCATTTAATGGGGATGGCGGGACACTATCAAAGGAGATGTGCGAGAATTTTAGATTGGAATTACCAAAACAATTGAGCACTCCTAAGCAAATACCGTATCGTGATTGATACGACACCGTGGTCTTTTCTACTTAAACGAAACTTGTATCTTTGTACCCATACAGGGTGTCCCATGACTCGATGGACATAGCTTAATACCATATTCATTGGTCAATTTTACGTCGAAATTTGCTTATACATTTTGTCCAAAACTCAATAATTAAAAGGAGTTACGGGCAATATTAAATTTAACAATACATCAATCTAGTAGGCCGTGTGATTGTTTTGTTATATTAATATGGTGGCAACGTTTATTCTTTGACGTTGTAATATGGCTATAGGTACGTTTTCCAATCAAGAATATGCGGATATTCACTTTATTTACGGATTCTGTGACGGAAATTCAAGACCGACAGCTAGTGAGGATATATCAGCGGAGGTTTCCTGATTGAAGAATCTTAAATGTGCATCGTCAATTGGCAGAAAAAGGTAATTATCCCCTATAAGTACGAAACCATCGTAAAATAAGCAATCTTTTAAAACCGTGGCCAACTATAATTTCAGTTTAAAAAAATCAACTTTAGCAGTTACTAAAAGGGCTAGAAACAAACAATTGACGGCACTGATTTCTACGTTAAAGAATGCCTGAATAATGCGCTAAAAATGGAGGTACCTATTCGTGATTCAATATTTAGACCATTTATTAAATCTAGCAAGCCGGGTGTCATTATTTTATAATGAAATGGACTGTAATTAATAATGACCTTTATTCACATATTATATACAAAAGTAACAACACAAAAATAAAAAATAAGGCATAACGATATATCAAATATATAATAGTGAAAGGGTGAAGTTCAGACTAATTGGTCTGCTCTTCCACTTTACCCCAATATACACTTCATTTTTTTATCGCGAAATGAGTGATGTTTCTCTTAAATAAAACGGTATACCTGCGTTTGTTCAAAAAATGTGAAAATGAAACTAATAATAATGTAGAAACACAATAAAAAAAAAACTTAAAGTGTTAAAAGAACTGGTTAACTTCATTGGATTTGACTTCTATAAAGTAAAAGTCGCGTTTGTGTTTTAAAAGGGTTCAAGGAAAGATTTTTGATAAAAGCTGGCATCGAGTTGTATTGTTTTGCAATTTGATAAGAAACACACCCTTCGAAAAGATGATACCTATGAGCTGGAATAGTCATGAGTCCTTTGTTACGTAAATTGAGATGGTGTACCTCTGTACGGAAAGTAATTTTATTATAAAGATACTGTGGTTTATGAGTTAAAACGATTTGATGACACATATACAAAAAGTGAAGGGAACGGCGATTTTCCATATTCAACCACTTTATTTCAGACATCTTATGGGAGACATGATCAAATTTTTTCAAGCCGAAAATCAACCGTAGACAAGAATTTTGCACTCGTAGTCTTTTCCTGCTGGTTCCATCCAAGCAAGGTCCATATACACAATCTGCATAATTAAAATGAGATAGAACTAGCACATTCATTAGTTTTACTTTGGTATCAAAGTTAAAGTTGTATCTGTGGATATACAAAGATTTTAGACTGCTGAAAGCGCGCTGAATGCATAGGTTTATATGACTTTTAAAACGAAGATCGCTATCCATGATTAGTCCTAAGTTCTTGTGTTCCGTTTTTATTGGAATGGCGTGATTGCCAACATTTAGATAAATCTGCTGCTGAACATTGTTTCGGTGGTGAGCCTTTCCGAACACCAGCGCTACAGATTTAGACGGATTAATAATCAGGGAGTATTTTGTGGATGTTTCAAATAAGTTATTTAAATCTCTGGTAAGTTTATTTAAAGCAAGATCTACGTCAGAAGGTGGAAATGAGAGATATAATTTGTGTATCATCTGCATATAGGTGATGTTTGCATGTATTTATGCAATTTGGTAAGTTAGCAGTGTACATAGTGTAAAATAAAGGGCCGAGTATGGAGCCCTGTGGAACCCCCGAATAAATTTTCCTTTCTGACGACAGTGAGTCTTGAATTTTTACTCTTTGAGTTCTATCTGTTAAAAAGCTAGTTACTAATTCCAACGCGTCTTTACTAAAACCAAAAAATGTAAGATTGAAATTAGTAATTCGTGGTCCAACATGTCAAATGCCTTAGAATAATCTACCAGGACATTAACAGTGAGCATGTTGTTATCGGTTGCTGTAATGATATCGTCCACAATGCATGATAAAGCTGTAGAACAACTATATCCATAATTCTAAATTTTTTGCACTTACCCTTGTAGTTTCTTCGCAGGGGTAAGGGAACGGAACAAGTTAAAGGTGCATATTACATAAATGTCGATGATTTTGGAAAAAAATATTTTTCTCTCTTTCTGCCAAACGTTTACCTTGCATTCCACGATCAGTTCCAAGAAAAAAATTTAAGAGCAAAAAATTTGCTTCATTTAATGTACATTCTTAATGTACTTTGTAGATCAGAAATAAACAAGTTGTAAATCAGCATATGCATGATTAAAGCGCATTTTTGGTAATGCAGGTCAGTATTTTATTAGCGAAGTTTAAAATTATCGATCTCACGAGTAATTTTGGCTGCGTTAAATAATTAATTTTATTTAATTTCAATTGACGGTACGTCTTCATTTTGTAAAACAAATCACAAAGTAAATAATAAGTTTTTATACTGGTAGCGCTATCTAACGGTAAAATTATAGCACCTCCGAAAGCCATATCGAAATTATTTTCTTCAATTATCGATTTCACAAGTAATCTAACTCAAAATAGAGTAGTGCCTGCACATCTACACTATAGCAGAAAGCTTTTAGTGAAAATTCGAAGTCTCTAGCTATTGTAGTTGTGGAGATCTAACGCGGACAGCCGGCCTGCCAGCAATGACGAATATAATAGCGTATTTTTTTCAAAAATGCGCTAAAAATGAAGGCGGGATGCCCCTATTAAGGCTGGACAGTACATACAGAACGGAGTATGTAAAGTTGCCTATTGCCAATCCCCAAATTTGGTTATATTTGGTTATATATGATTTGTGTTCGATGGTAGAAACATAAACTTAGTCCAATTATGCACATTTTTTATCTGTATAAAACAAGCCGCGCGGGGGAAGCTATATTTTCGCTCTCTCGAGGTTCACTAACATATCATTTATGCAAGATGGATATAGCTGAGGATGTTACGGCAAAACATGTCCTATGTGACTGTGATGCCGCCGATAGGCGCAAACATAACGTCTTTGGTTCAGACAAGTTAACCCTTAACAAAATACTGAAAAAATTCCAAAGTAGGTCTTAGGTTCTTCAATGATCTAAAGATACTCTATAGAAACCAGTCGGGAAAGTTACCAAAACTAGAAGTGATTAGGTGACCATAGACTGCACCAGGCCTTAGTCAGTGTTTAAATACTTTAAAAGTATTTAAACAATGCCTTAGCCCTTATCAATAATTATAACATCATGACCGAATGGACTCTTAATTAACGATAATATTTAACTCATTATTTATTAACAGGCATGGATGTTTCAGATAAAATAAGTACTTATCCAAAGGATAAGTACCGAAAATAAAAGAAAAATGAGTAAAAATTTGGTCATTTTTTAAAATCTTATGACATGCAATTAATGAATTAATTTAAAAATAGTAGATATGTTTGCGGATCGCAAGGAAAAATCCTGTCCGCAGTTATTAATTGAAACGTCTACTAATAAAATAAAAATAACGCAAAAATTTCTCCCATAGTGGGCCCCGTTGTGTTATCACCGATAGGTGACCCTAACCATTTCTTTGCTATGACCATTATCACACGCATGCCATACACAGATCGATAACTCCCATCCTACATGGCAATGTGCAATGTAATTGACATACTCAATTTGCGATACTTTCTATCACGGATCCGGGGACCTTCCTCAGGGAAATGAAACACAAGGTTTCTGTATGTAGCCCCGAAGGTTAGGCTTAGGAGAACTGTAAGTTGCATACTTTTCACTGGTATATATAGTTAACCAGGTGAAATCAGCGAGTGTGAGAAGTAACAATTGATTTAATAGTCTATCCTTATTAATGCAAAATTTTTTTCAAAAATATTAGTTTACTTTGGTGGCAAACATCCTATTGCATAATTCAATTTCGTTAAAGTACCGAATAACTTAATCACACATTCTAAAAAATTCAATAAAATTAGAATAAGTTAGTAATAAACATAAAATGTTCAAATTACATACAGAGCATTATTTATACAATCTTAGGGTATCGATTAAATATTACAATATTACCTAACAAAAATTGCCTCTGTGAATTTACTGGTCTTGTTTGACTACGCCTCGGCCATCAAACTCCAGACTCCTCATAATAGCCACATTGTTCGTCCTCGATACAAAATATCAGTTTTAAAATCATAGAACCCCCAATGGTTTTTAAATAACTTTCCCCAAAAAATTATAACTTTCACAAAACCGCATTTCACGTCTTCATTATTCATTACTGAAACTATTTGATATACCTACATACATTACTTACTGTCGTAGATATAGTTTTGATGAACAACTGTCCCTGCAATCTCTACTATGCAAAGATAGTAGTAGGTATTATCTTTGTACTAGGTAATTCTTTTTTAATAAACCAACTTTTAATACTAGAAAGTTATACGAGTACAACTGCTAATAAAAATAAAAACATCCAATATTTAAAATTGGTGTTTGGGTATACCTGTAGTATGTATTATCTTTGTTAAATTTTTTACTATACATACAGGGTGGTGACTTGCGTAACGCATCATAGGGATTTCAATGTAAAATTCATAACATGCGATTATTGGCTCCCCAAATTATTTTAGAGCAAAAATGTATTAAGGTTTTTTTGTAGAAAAAAATTTTTTACGTCAATCAACCGTATTAGTTTTCAATTTTTTGCATAATAAAGACAGAAAATTGGAATAATAAAACCCGCATCTTTTTATTACCTTCGATGCCATGGAATTTTCTAAAACAAAAAGACATCCAGTTATCAATTAGCAGCCGTTCGAAATGGATTTTATGATCGACTTGGTTACTGTATTGCAGTTAATGGTGACTCATTCGAACATTTATTGTAAATTGTTATATTAGGAAACCTTTTTAGTAATTTGGTCTTTCTTTATGTTGAATTCGCTGTTCTAAATATAATACTTTTTGATAGAATTTGATTTGTTGCATAGCAGACATTCCATGGCATGACGGATATTGGCGTAGTTTTTGTATTATAAAATTCCATGGCATCACAGATTATTGAAAAAGATGGGGATTTAATTTCTCCAATTTTCCGTCTGTATTATGCAAAAATTTGAAAACTAATACGGTTGATTGACGTAAAAAATTTTTTTCCACAAAAAACCTTAATACATTTTTGCTCTAAAATAATTTGGGGAGCCAATAATCGCATGTTATGAATTTTACATTGAAGTCCCTATGATGCGTTGCGCAAGTCACCACCCTGTATAGGTATGTACCTACCTACTGCGGATTGCATTTATCTAGCTGTCTTAAAAATTGGCAACCTATAAAGCCGGCTACAGACACACGTACATTCCTAGAGATGTGTACCCGTGTACAAAAACTCAAGCATTGACTGAATACATTTTCGAGGGATATTTTAGGGAGATATTGTCTACACACCGAAGAATATGTACGCGCGTACATATCTCAAGAAAAGTATGTGTGTCTGTAGCCGGCTTAAGACCATCCATAAAACAAGACAAATATGTAGAGGCACAGCTAGAGGTAATAACAAATTCTAATAAAACTCATACTTTGCCTTAATTGTAAGCGTTGATAAGGGTAGATTACAATTCCAAACGTTTAGCAAACCATCTATGCTAGACGACGCTAATAAGATTGCCCTTGCAGTACCAACGTCATAAACCCATGACAAATCTATCACTGCCTCTTCGTGCCCCTTTACTTTGGCCACAATATTATCGGCGTCATTGTGCTGTACAGTCCAAATTACAATTTCGCCTAAACAATCAGCTTATAGAATCTTTGAAAAATTTGTATAGTATAAATACCAGAATATGTTCCACATGCTATAATGAACGGCATGGTCAAATGGAATCTCAATGTGTTAATACAGCCATTTATATTTAAGGTTTTATGCGGCGTTTCGGGTAGTTTATCATCTCTAAAAATTTAAATTGTACCTATGCCATATAATTTGGAAAGTTTCCATTATTACCTATTAAAGGTATAAAAACATACTCGTCCTGTGTGATGGCACCAGGACTTATGGAAATAATTGCAGGCAACAGCTAGGGTATTCCCGGTTGAATTCCAAGAAATTGCCTGCACTCTATTAGCATAATCACCATCACCTGAGCTGCTTGAGACATTTAAAATTTGTAACAGTTTCGCATTAGGTGTATCGGATTCCTCATAAGCATAGGAACCGTAAAACGCTTTTGAGTATACGGCTTCGTTTAATTCTCGTTCGACAAGCGGACAGATTTTTATCAGCCACTCTGATAACTTCTGATTATCAACTTCAGGTTGTAAACTTGGTGTGGAAATGTCAGATGTTTGAGTCTGAAATCGAACCATTTTATTTTATTTATAATTTTGGATTTATATACGGTACGTCAACTTCCACACTAGTTGCAGTTTCAGTAGAAACACTGTTTACGCTTAGGTCCGATGTCTGTGAAGACGATTCAGAATACACTCTGCGAAAGAGGAAATTTTAATTGCTGTGAATACACTTCACCAAGCAAATACCCTTTTACTTTCCATCTCGACTCAAAACCAACACTTTCGCTTGTATTTACTGAGAACATGTTTCTCACACTACTGTTGACAGAGATTTAATGTGGTCGCCAGGGTAACACGAAGCAAACAATAACATTTTCTATAAAGATCAAGTTATATACCTGATCTATTATTTATTACATACTTTGTTTTGAAAAATTTTTCATTTTTCATATTACACATACCTAAAATCTAAATTTACACCGATCCTGAATTGATTAGTTAACCGAAACCACCACCTTTTAGGCACTCTTGAATCGAATTTACTCCCAAACTTTAACATTACTAATCATTTTTAAAATTGATCCATCAATATTATAATGAAGTTTTCAAAAAAATCCACTGGTTTAATCAAGTTGGTGGGCTGAAAACAATTATGCTAATAATTGTTACCATGGCAACATTTACTAACACAATCCAATTGGGTATTATCAAAAGTTTTAAATCAAGCTAATTTTTTGTTAGTACACTATTAAACCATCATAGTTCATTTGTGTTTAATGCTATGAATTATTATTAACAAATCAGCGAATAATTAAACAAATAAATTTGAATAATACGAGAGGGACGTTAAACGACTGCTCATAGGCGGTCAGCAAAGTGACGTAATCGCTCTCATAGCAACACATATATCCTTAGTTACACGTTTAAAAATTCAAAGGTTACAATCATCCTTCTTGCAAACGCCATCGTTAGCTTAGTTGTGTGCGTTTCAGATGTTGCATTAAGACCAATTCCCACTGTACATAACTAGCCACGCGCGAAGTGGCACGTCGCGACGCATCGCGGGGCAATTTCTAGATCCAATTCTCACATAAACAGCGCAGCGCGGCTCAACAAATTGTCCCTTTGGGTCGGATCGGAGGGAACAAATCCCTTGGTTCAGTTCAGTGTTAACATTGCTTCATCGAGTAGTTCATCTAGTGATCATTGGACGGTGGATGTTGAAGAAGACACTAATAAAGGAAAGAAGAGGACATACTAGGTTTACCCAATTTATGAGGCGCGTTTTTCTGAAGGCAAATTCCATTTATTGTACGAGTGTTTAATGGAAGTGGACTACGCGTCCCCTATGTAAGAATTGGGCTTTATTCGTGTACGTGTGATCCACATTTTGTTTTCTGAAAGTGTGGCAATCAGTGCTTATTCTTGTATTTTTTCTTCACGAGTTATAACACAAGGAAACGCATAACATGACATCAGAAGGATTTGCAAAGGCATCCTCCAATAACCTGCCATCCATAGACATTTTCATGATGAACGATTTTAAGAGCCATCCACCGAATGATGGTGCAGCTACTTGCATCTCTTTTTCTATTAGGCTAATAGTCAAAAATATGCGGAATTACCTCTGGGTTCATTTTTATTATTCTGCCCATTAGTTTGAATCTATAATTCGCCATATCTTGTAACTGTAAAACTGTAAAATGTGACAATAAAGAAGTAAATATAAAGCTTATCTACACAAATAGATTTTCACAACAGAAAAACCGTGATTTTGATTAGGCGCAGCCCGCCTGCCAGCTTGAAACCATTTCCCTTTCTTTTCCCAGTCACTGGAAACTGTTACGAATATTTTTTTTTGGGAATACTACGCTGGTGCTTTCACATTATGGTACAAAACATGTTTTATTCTCATTCCGCACGATATTTATGTAAATAAGTACAACAAAATGTAGCGTATACAACGAACCAAAGTAATCATCACGGAGAATTTCGCGCGCTATGTGTACTGACATGACACATGAGAGCGATGACGTCCGAGTGTGTTTGCGCGCCATCGAATAAATTCAAACTTCAAATCCATTTTTCTGCTAATATGCGCCGAATTTTGTTTTTTTAAGTGTTGTACACGATTATTAGATTCAAACCCTTTTACTTGACGCACTTTTTGAAAAATGTGATAATCCCAATTCAACACAGGTCGCATTTTCGAAATCGCCTTTAGAAACTAAAAAAAAACTACATGTTGTTAAGTGCAATCTTTATTGCAACATTTCTTTTTTTGTAATTCTAAAAATACCTTGTTCAATTTTTTTATGAACGTATCAATTTCATCTTTTCGAACACCAATAGAAGCGGCTGCAGTTAAGTATGGAACTTTTGTAGCTTCAGAATGAGCACCCCAACCTAAAACAGCGTTTTTAAAACCATCCTAGTTGCATACTGAATGTGGAAAGACCATTAAATGTATGACCTCCGATAGTCTTAGTTTCTAAGGTTGTTACAACACGTGTGCCAGAAATATTTCTCCAGAAAAGCATGGAACCAAGCTGTGTCAAATCTTCTGGCTCAATGGTACGAAGTGTGATAGCTAAAAAACTAGGCCTTACATTAGGTAATACAACGAAAGTGCATACCACATGAAATTGGATTATCCGGGGTATTGAGTAGTGTCTCACCGAATTTTTCTGAAACCGCCAAGAGTTCTTGTTTTAGATATGTATACAACTCATCCCGCTTCATAATTAAATCTCTGTAACCATTTTTACCCAAATGAAGCAGTGTTATAAAGCTGTCCATAACTGGTGAAGATGAAGCTCTACCTATTATGAATACTATTAAAAAACTTGTACAAATACAATAACGATTTTTATAAATAGGCATTCCGTTTTCTTAAGCAATAATTTTGTAAAGCACCCAAGTACCTAAACTAAAGCTATTTCCTATTGCTAGTTTGATCTCCACATTGAAATGTTGTGTTTATAAATAAGCTCAATTTCTTTGAAAAAAAGGTAAATTTATAGTTTCAATGGCCGACCATAAACTAGAAATTGATATTTTATCATTATCACGTTGAGCAGCATGTCGAGTATATGGTAATTGAATAAGTAGGTACCTGTAATTACCTATTCAATGATACTGTCCACTATTAGGTACTTATACACGGTGTCCATTTTTAGAGTGCCACTATGGAATCTCGCTTACCTGAAGAGATAGAGAGTTGGTTAAATGGGGGCAAAGTTGCGAATTTTCGTGCTGAATAATAATCTGAAAAGAAATTAAAAATATCTTTAGTAGTTTTGAAAATATCGCAAAAAAACATTATTCAGACACTTTTTAATTTTTCGGGAAGAGTGCTTTGGAAAAACAAAACGTTCTTTTATCGTGAACAAAAGTATGACAGTTTGATCCATCTGTCTGGTTAGAGCGTTGGCAGGGAACTAGTTGAGTTGAGATTTTCATCTGAATATAATTGAACCTTCGTTTTGCAAGAAAATTATAATTCAAATTAGAACAAAATACTTAAGAAGAAATAATATTTTCCCAATAAATCTAGCACAAACGTAAATTACACTACTTGAAATAAGTCAACCTTTTGTTCACAACAAAAGAACGTTTTGTTTTCCAAAGCACTCTTCGCAGAAAATTAAAATTGTAATTTTAGGAAAAATGTGTTACTGAACCACCATGTGTGATATATCGTTGTAAAGAGAAAAAAAGACGTAATCTCAAAATGTCAAAATCCAAAAACCCATAAGAAAAATTAAAGTTGCCACCTGTTTCTCCGTCATCTTAAAAGTTATTGAAAAAGAGAGGCCATATTCGAAATCTCCATTAAAAAGTGTCTGAATAATGTGTTAATTAGAAATGTCTAGAACGATTAGTTTACTATGAAAAAATTAAAAACGAAAATCAGAAATTTTCTTTTTTTTTGTGATATTTTCAAAACTATTGAAGATATTTTAAATTTCTTTTCAGATTATTATTCAACACGAAAATTCGCAACTTTGCCATCATTTAACCAAATGTCTATCTCTTAAGATAAGCGAGAACCCCATAGTGGCACTCGAAAAATGGACACCGTGTATAAATAACGACCATATTTTTAAAAAAGAAGAATTTTTCAATAAAGTATCCCCACTGTCTGTAAAGTATTTCAAACCTTGAATTATACGTTGTAAAATAAGCTATTTTACAAGTAACAAAATCGGTCGCAAATTACAGCGCCACAACGTTGCGGTATGGAGTGTAGAGAGTAAGCCGTCATACTTGGTTTGAACTTTTTTGGTGGTTCTACGTGCTTTCTATTGTTATCGTTATAGATGAATTAATACCATTAAGATATTTAAGAGTATCACATATCTTAGATTTTAAATAACCTAGGTAATATAATTAATTTTCTCTTTAGTTTTCGTAATTCCACACCGGGTCATGTAGATGGCGCTCTTTACCGTGTCTCACGTTACGCAAATGCAAATAGTAACGAGTTTCCTGTATTTACATATCAAGATATTGTCGAGAGGTTGCATTTGCAAAAAGCTAAAGGTGCACACTTTAGTTTGACGTATTATTTAAGTGAGTTCATGTCATACACAAGAAGCTATGGTCCAAAAATAATTATTTCAGAAGTACCACTTTGCTAGACATTGATCGTGTTGATATATTTACCTGGATATGTTTTGGAAATCTGCTCAAGGAGACCTACATTGAAAGCAGCGATCACTGCTCCACCTACAGGAACCATTATATTCTTATCGGTACTTTGTACAAATGCATCTACGCGACCTTTACTAAAAATGTAATTTTAACAAATTACTCAAATGTATGAATGTGTAGCAGGGCCACAGTTTTTTTATTCACATTTTAATGAGATGTTTAGACTTCAGACAGGAAGGGTCCTGTAGCAGGAACGAAGAAAGTGTGAAAAAGTGCAATAGAACAGCGAAGGAAGTCAGAGGAAAAAGATGTTAAGGATGAAAGTGTGATGGAAAATATGTGAACAAAGACTAAGAAGTTATATATGGCCCTTCTACACCTTCGTCCAAGTATTAAGTATTTCCAAATAACAAATTTACTTTTGTGCTTTCTGGATTCGCTTCATAATAACTTTACTTTGTAATCCATAGGCATTGTTTATTAGATGAGGTATATCATACTTATTGCACAGAAGTGCAATTCCCTCTATGTCATCGCATGCTCTAGGTGCAAAGCAAGCGGTAGTGGACATGACACATAACACACTATCTCTTGGGAGTTCCTTGATTTTTTCTTCTAGCAAGTTAAGGTTTGTTTGAAGTTGATCTCCAACTTTAATGGTGTCAATTACAATTGGTATAAACCCTGAAAAATACCTAGCTAAGTATAACAAATATAACCTGTAGTTGTCATAAATACCGGCTGACAAAATGCTCTTAAAGCAGCTTTTTTGGTCAATTCTGGACCAAATCACGTATTTAGCATTGGGTAAGACACCACGTATGCTTAACATGCTTAGCACCAAAGCCATACCGGTTGCTACAGGTACCACTAAGCACTCACACCTTGCACTGATACCTACAAAAAGGATCAATTCGTAACTCACTAAGAAAGTGGAACACCTACCCATAAATTTTATTAAATCGTGAAACAAACAATTTGTCAATTTATACATTAATGAAGAACCTGCTGCTTTAGGTTGAGACTCTGTCAAATCACCTGACCTTCCAATACCGTGCCCAAAGTAATAATGCCGTCTGCGGACCAACTCTGAAATATCTATCATCAGACTCGACTTGAAACATGACACCCACCAGATGCAAAGCGAGCCTCGCGCTCACCGGTACCAGAATTTCCTCGAAAATTATTGCTGTCCATCCCAGATAGTTCAAACAGAAACGTTTCAATCGTTATGTCATCCCAGCCTATGTCGGGCAACGTTTTCTAAATTTTTAAAGAAGTTTACATTTACTTCAAAAAGACTTACATGTTGCAGCAGTTGTCTGATAACGTTTTCTCTAGTTTTGCACGCATTCTCTGACTGTTTTATATAGCTCTCTGGTACAAATTTCGCAGCTAAACACCAAGCTTCTGCGTTCATTATTTGAACTTGGCGCCAAAACTTGCTGGAAGAGTATCCCCAGGCTCAGAATGATCACGGAAAGTCGTAATTATATCTGCATTAATTGTGGAACTCCCACAGTGGAATTGTGTAAAAAATATAGTGAAACTGTGTTAAAACTTGTGAACTGTGTAAGTAAACGTTTCTTTAATTTGAAAATGTAAAGTGAGGTTAGGTATCAATTAAGGTGCGTTCAAACAATCGATTTAGCACTCGTTGGTCGCGTTCCACAAGTGTCATGTATTCCGAAATCGAACGAACCTTTAGCTCATGCTGCTTTGAAAATCATGGGCATTTTTTATGAGTTCACTGAAATCTTTCAGAACCTTCCCGTAATTTTTATCGCATCTTTAGATTTAAAGGGAATCATTTTTTATGTTTCCTTTTTTGTCTTTTAATTGGACTTTTTTTAACTTCTTTCTTGGAATCGCTCCTAAATCGTTAAATATTCTTATAAATGTTTTTTTTATAATCCTTACAAATTATTTTGAAGAAGCAGAAAAAATGTCATCAAAATTTAGATGAATTTCTCAGAAATCTGTCCTGTTACCTACACGTTTCATTAAGCGTTATACCAAATCACTTTACAAACTTCCGACTGTTAACATTTTCTTTTTCAGTCAAAATGTAAACTTGTAGCCGACAAATATATTGAGTATGACATCGTAATTGTAATTATTGATTTAATACTACTTCAAAAGGAAGCGTATCGTCACATTTTATATAATTCCGAATTTACTGTAAGATAAATTAAACATTAACTACCTGCTGTACTTATGGCGTATTTTTTAGAGCCACTGGAAGCTTGCTGCAATGTTGCAAATGATGGAAGCATATTCCGACTGGGTGCGTACTGCAAAGCACAAACGTAATTATAAATTAACATATGAATATGCAACAACTGATGTTGAATTATATATGCTGAGCTTTCGAGTAATCTTCAGTAAGTACTAGTACACATACACGCCGGTCATTCATACTGCACACACATTGTAGGAAGTATTTGCTACCTGCTGATAATACTAGCATTAACTGCAGTGTACAATTTAGTTAAGAAGCAGAAGATCTCCAAATCATTTCCAATTGTTTGGAAAGCTATCGTCCTGTCTAACTTTGGGTCATTTCTTTTGCTCCCTTCACTAATTTGGGATAGCACCTTACAAGATTTGCATATTATTTTTGTGGCGCTCTACACCACATTGTCCCAATTGTTGGCGTATACTGGTAAATTACCTTTTTTACTTATTTCTCTAGTTAATTTTTAAAATTTCAGTTGTCTGTAACTGTGTGAAGCTATGGTCAGTTGCTGTGATCGTTATAGCTTATAATGGCAAAATGTATGCAAATGAACTGTATGATATTATGTATAGCACTTTATATAACTTTTTAACGTAATCAATTGATTTATCAAATTGTCAATCACAAAATTAGCCTAAATATAAATAAGAAAATGTCGCACTTTATATTATAATTTTTTGCCTTACCATATTCTTTCTTTGTTTGGTACATTGTTTCCTACCTTCTGGTAGGGCATATTGTACACTATAATTAGCATCTTTTAATGTAAAGTATGTGTGTCTCCCTCTAGTATTTTATATTGAATTGCTTACATGTTTTATATTACATTAAGGGTCAGTTTTTTCATCCCTTGATAAATTTATTCGTGTTATTGGAAGGGGGAAAAACCAGGCCTAAGTAGGCCGGCCCGTGTAGCGCAGTTCAATGGAAGCTCGACTGCGGTACAGGGTCCCTGGTTCGAATCCGGGTTCGGGCATGGATATTTGTAAATGTATAGTGGGTTGGGTTGGTAGAGCAGCCTCGGCTGAAACCCCGCCCACTTAAAAATAAAGGCAAAAATAAAAGTTCTGTAAGTATTGAATTCTATTACAAATTGATAGTTCGTATAAGAAACAATCCGTAGTTGGTCTGTGACAGTTGCTATTGTCATGTCTATCTGTTATGTGAACGAAGGTAAGAAAATGAATATTGGTCATCCCAGCAATTTTAAGAATGGATTTTGGATGTGGGATGAAGTGAACAATGGACTACTCTTTGTTAAGTATGTCTTTGTACTAACATTAATACTCATGTGGACAAAACACGTAACCCTTTATGCTTTTAGCAAAGATATAAGTCCAAGACTTCCATCAACCCTAAATGTAAATGCGATAAGAGCTGCGGCAACTAAAGTAACCCGGAATGAAATGAAATTTCGAGAAACCGTTGATCATTTGGACAAGGTATTATGGGCATCACAACAACGCTAATTTAATGAATGGTTCTCTAAGATAAGTAGCTTCCTACCAAAATCCAGTTGAGGATGTAGGTATATTTTGACATGCAAAGGCTCTCATCTAGATCTAATTTCTTGATGAATTATTGCAATTACAACAACTCAAACATTCTTGATTCTTATCACTGTAATATCACAAAGTTTATGAAGTGTATAAGATAAATACCATCTAAATCTAAAGGTTTTCAACGAAAAGGAAATTGAAAGCCGTCTGAGCGCTATACAGGGTGGTCCTAAATACTATGTAAATATGGAAGGAGCTAATTCTTTAGTTTATTTCATGTTTATATAAACATAGATCCGCATACGCTTCCTTACTGCCCTCTACAATGTGTTACAATGTAAAGATTTTTCTTTATATCTTCTGCAGTTTTAGAGATATTTGTGCTCAAATTTGAAATATAAGTTACGCTGAAGGAGGTCATGTCAATGTTAGTGAGAAGAATCTACAGGGTGTTGTTCTTGACGATCATGTTTCATTTTCTACCCCTGAACATTTTTCGGTGCGCCACTGATGGATTATAAAATAATTCCATTTTGTGATTTCTTTGGAAGCTTTTTGGTCTCTTTTTCATATTTGCGACCGTTATCAAGAAAAAAAAACAATTTTCGGTAGTTAGCTAAATGAAAGTAATATTTTGAAAATGCTCCGGCAGGCTCTGGCATTATTTGGGTAATGGTAACGCCGGGTGTGGATGCGGCGCGTCGCCACACTTCCTATGTTTAAACACCACAACTGCTACAGTGACAGTAATGAGCCATAGTCCTTCTGACCTTGATTTTACAGTACAGGCACATATGGTTAAGAATGATGTCAAATGTCATCAGAATATGATTTGCAGAAAATGGGCGTATTTATAATCTATAAATTTGGCATCGTCGCTCTAATAACTCCTACGATTGAATTGCCCTATGTACTGTACTGTGAAGTCAAGGTGAGATGGGCTAGATGAATTACGATCAAGAGGGTTCCTATACTTCCTAGTTCACACTGCTCTTTAAAAAACATGTGATGATGTGCATCTACAGGCTCGTTTCCGTCGATACCACCAAAGAAGGTGCAAACCAAATGAACCCGATGTAATTACTATTCAAGATGTGAAAGATGTTGCAATATACATAGCAAATCCGAGGAATTTATCACGCGATTTATTAAAACTTCTTCATACAGTGACGATGGATAAATTTTTACGGGCTCTAATTGTCTATTTCCAATTCTTCATACTGGTATTAGGTATTATCGCACGCTCTTTCTTAACTAAATCAAAGGCAGATATGGGAGAAGTTATTACTGAGGCGAGAAGAAAAGAAGCGTAAACTGTATCAGCCCATTGTTACGCAAATTGAAGATAGTTTACGAAATGACTTGGCCGACTTGCGCTGTGTAGTCTCGAGGGAGTATGGTACAATTCTTATAGGAGCAGAAAAAACAAAAAAATTTCACCATATGCTTAGTAATAAAAATAACATTTCACTTTCGGATAAAGATCGTAAGCTTTTTGAGGAGATCGTAAGTATGTCGGTCAGAATTGTATGGATTGCTTTGCACAGAAAGAATCTCAATTTAATCGGTAAGAAATTTGGGAGATGTGCGGGAAACCATCAGCTCATTTTAGAAACGGAAATGAACCAGCTGTTGCGCACTAAGATCTTTAATGGAAGAGCTTGTGGTGAAGACCTACACAAATCACAGGAGGAAGAGAACATTTTATACGGCACTGCAAATATCATGGAAAAAAAGCTCTTGCAACATTCACTAATGACAAAAGAATTAATGCTCGGTCAGCATGATTATAGACTGCTCATGATTGGAGTTAAACAATATGAACCGTAAGACTATGCAATAAGTTTTTATTAATATGTATTGCTCCTTAGAACGGATGAACGTTTGGAATACTTAGAGGTCGCTTTTACAGCACCTGAGGAATTGCTAGTAAAAGAAGGTGTCACTGTCGGACTACTTGGTCTTCCCAGAAGTGATTACGATGCTATGCTGATAAGTCTGACTCATAATGCTAAAAAGCGGTTAGCAAAGAAGCCTAGAATTTTACCTGAGTTTAAGATTCCACCTTCCATTCACCATAGGTACTGAAACTTTTTGAACTTTTATCCATTACAAAATACCGCATAAATTTAATTTAGTCATAAAATCTTTTTTATTTGCAACATCATTGGCTCATACAGAAAATTTTATATATGCACATCTTGAACGTGGAAACCAATCTAAGTGCATGTTTTAAAAAAAGTGTCCATTTAAAAAGAAAAGTTTAAGGGAAGTTCCCTTTCCAGAAAATCTGTTGGCAATTATTTAAAATCTAAAAATGAAGTAATACATAGGGTGTTCCATTTAAAATAAGTAAGTTAGCATCAACTTCTGGTATAACTTGAAGCGCCACCAACTTGAAAATATTTTAGATCAATTCATATCGACATCAGTGCATTGTCAAATTTTCAAAATATTCTGAGGTCTTCTTTTTGAGTTATAGATTCCTGGCATTCGTCATGGGACACCCTGTAGAAATTGTTCAGATACTATCCATATAATATAATATAATATAACCATATGACACAGCATAAATATTACTTACAGCACTGCCGACATGCCGAAAGCATTCCCCAAGAAGCCTCCGTTATACAAAGACACGTCGCAAAAAATAACTGCACGAAAAAAACAATTTGATATGTGGAATAAAGTTTGGGAGAGGGGAAGCGAAGTAAGAGAAATGTCAATTTTGGATTTATCAAGAACACAATCACAAGCCCTACTCAGTTCACGAAGCTCCATTTCAATGGCAACAAGACGTTCGATACAAGTGGAACAATGCACAATGTAATTACTTAGCTCGCATGTACATTGTTAAACATCTCTTTAAAATATAATAAAAGTTGCTCTTCATTTAAATTGATAGATGTGTTTCGCCGCAAATCCACTAATTCAAATAGTGGCATCTGCTCCATACACTTGGAGCCAATAACTATTATAAATGGATAGCCAACTCTCCGAGCATCAATTATTCGCCTACCAATAGTGAAATGGATACGATCATCGAGCAAAATGTTGTTTTCCAGACATGGTAATGTTTCAAGTAGACTGCAAACTCTTTCGGTTAAGTGATAGCCTGCCTCTTCCTCTTTGCTTCCCTCCTACAATCACCAACTATGACAACGAATTATTAGTAGGGATGTTACTTATTACTTTTGGTGGTATTATAATAGCAGTGTAAGGTGCTAAAGCCAGCGGCCATCGCATTTCTTCTTCCTGCGAGAGAACTTCTACAACAGCAGCTAAAATACGACTTAATCCTAACCCATAACTCCCCATCTGCAAAGAAATAGGTTTCTTCTTCTCATTAAGATAATTTGCCTTTAAAGCTTTGGAGTACTTATCACCTAACAAGAATGTATGCCCAACCTACAACTTCATTTTTAATATTGTCAACAGCTACAGATTACGAACCTCTATTCCATTAGAAATGGTGACATTTGTACTATTACAATTCGAGCATTTATCACGGCCTACCAAATCAATATTTGCATGCAATCCACAATCAGAACACCGCATTAACTGATCTTCTCCTATGTCTGCTTTGTAATGGTACTCATGTGAAAGTGAACCTCCCATAGCTCCAACTGAGCCCATTACTAAAACATTTGGTCACATGAAACAGGATAATTCATATTGTGTTCACCTGTATATTCTGTTCCAATTGTTTCAGGCCCTTAAGACACTTGAAAATCGGCTTATCGGAATAAAGATTTGAATTTTTGTATTTTTTCTTAAATTTTTTTGAGATGCGTCAAGATCCAAAAATAATTAGAACTAGTATATAATAATAACTTTGCGAGTCCCCTACAAGGTTCTAAAAAACCAGACACCCCTTACCTTTATGAAACGGCACTCCAATTTTGGTAAAAATTGCATTATAACAATCGCACACTTCATCATATGTGTGTTTTGCACTTTCCAGATCAATATCAAAAGAATATAAATCTTTCATTAAAAACTGCCTGCCACGCATCAACCCAAACCTTGGCTTAATTTCGTCTCTATATTTATTAGTTGTTTGGTAAAGTTTTAAAGGGAATTCTTTATAAGAGATCTGTGAGACGGACGCAATCAAATCACTTACTGCCTCTTCGTGGGTCTACAAAGTTTTTATTGGTACTCATCCGGATCGCGTACATCAACACTTTACCTACTGGGCTTAAGATGTACATCTGATTATGTCTGTCTGTTAATGTAAAGAGTTCCGACCCAAAATCCTCCAACCGACCTAAACATTTATATTAACGAGTCTGCCAATTTACTCATTTTAAGAACCTGTAGATTTCCAGAGTTTGGAATGTGTAAGCGTTGGAAAAATTACTTTCTGTGCGCCGATTTTAAGCATTTCTTCATCGACTATATGGAGTAATTTATCTAATGCACGAACGCCTAAAGGTAAAAAATGAAAACTGCCAGGATTTGCTTGTCTTATAATTCCCAATTCTAACATAAGCTGGAACATAATAACTTTAGTGTAGGAATTACAATTTGTTCACCCTTACGCGTTGACTTCTCGATAGAATTTCTTGATTTTTACGTTTTGCATCCTTTGGTACAATGTTGATTGGTTGAAATATTCTCGTTAGACGGTTTCTAACACTTAAATATAATTTTGAGTTAGCTTTTTGATAAGCATTCATAATTCAACAAATTTTAGCGAACGAACTACTAAATTAAAATAATGTAGGTTAGAATCTGTATCTGTGGCTATTGTCTACAACTGTGTCAATAGAATGCATTAATTGCATAACGTACAGTGTGATGATGAAAATTTACCTTCACCGGCTACTCTGCGTATCTCTTCCATGACTTATCGGTTCCTTGAATACCTGTGGGCGCCCCTCAATCTAATTAATGAATTACGGGGTCGAGACCGTGAAAAATACTTTTAGAACAGGATTCAGGTAACAATCCATTTATTACATTTTCAGGATACACTTGATAATAACATTGAATAAAGTTCAGATTTATTATTCAATGATAACAACAAAGATAAATTAAACGTTAAAGGATTAGAAAAGTTAGTTACAATTGAACGAGGAAATCAATGTAGCTGTTAGGTATAATGATGGAAGAAGATAACTAGTCTCCTTTAATTGGTTGTCTTCAGTGAGCCGTGCAGCTTTTAAAAATTTTTATAGACCGATGTGTGATAAAGTATATTACAGGTAGGTATACTACATAGGTGCTAATCGCAAATGCCCAAGAAAGAAAAACCCTGAAATATATCATTTCTAGCCCATTATTTATTAAATTATTAGACTTTCATTCACCTCAATGACTATTTTTTTATTCCAATGAAAAATGTGCTGAATATAACAAGCAGTCAATTTAATCAACTCGCATCTACTTATTTATGATCGACAAACGCCATATGGACAGCCGGCAACCAATATACACCGTGTTCAAGATAAGGATGTCTTATCATGGGGATCTCCGAAACCATATAAGATACGACGACCAAATTAGAAAAAAGATGCGCAATTAAATGTTATTATCATCCTTTAAAGAAAACTAGAAAATTCCAATTACTTCTGCAGTTATGCCAGAAAAACCGAAATTTGCCGATTTTAACCTAAATTAGTCCATTAGAAACCTAGTGAAAGACGGTGGATTTCATAAATTTGTTTAAAATATTCATTGCACCTTGTATATCTAGTGCAGTCGTGTATCCACAGTCAGCGGCTGTCCACCAAAAATCAAACACTAATCTCACGTGACGTCTATCATATGATATCAGTCATTTGCAGTAGGCAGCACCCTTTCAGATTAGGGCAAGTGGTATAACAACCTGTAAAATGAGCACAGCAATACCTTTAATAGTTTTCACGGTTCTGTGGGGAGGAGTAGGAATTGGCTTACCGTTTGTTGTACCAAAAGGTCCAAATAGAGGGTAAATAAAAAAAAAATAACAATCCTATAACTTATGCACTTGTTTCAGCATTATACAGGTGATCTTAATATTAACAGCGGCAACCTGTTGGTTGTTGTAAGTATAAAATAGACTGTCGATACTGTTAGATAACATTTGATGATTGTAGTTGGTTGTGTTGCTACTTAGCCCAGTTAAACCCTTTGATTGGGCCCAGACTAAATAGGCACGCTATATTGTTAATGGCTAGAGAATGGGTAAGAAATTGCCTGTAAATGTGTGTAAGTTCTGTTAATTGCTACCGTTTTAGGGAGATAAAATCAATTCCTCAGTAACCATTTAGTGTCACCTTGTCTCTATACCCAGAGCAAAAAACGCAATGTTTTATTAGTTAAATGTAATTACTTATGTGTAATTTTTATTTATAGGTACTTTCATTTCTTGTTTGATTTCTATATTGTTAGAGAAATGATGTTGCATATTGTGTATTTAAAATCATAGTATTGTTTTTAATAAATAATTGTAGGGTTCGAACTCGGTGAGGTTAAACACTGGCCTACCAAACTCTAAATCAAAGGTTAAAACTCCGCAGCTTTTGTCAACAATCTTTTCCCATAAACTGTCCAAATTTTAAAGAAACTGAGAACCATTGACAGGCCTGTGCATTTTTACAGCAGTTTCCATGAAATGTGGAACTTTTTCTAATGTTAAAATGCACAAAGGTTTCAAGCCTACATTCCAGCAATTCGTCATTTAAACAAATACGCAAAGGCCTAAATCCACTGAGAGGGATGTTCGTCTTTGTGACAATGTCTCCTTTCTAGCCCATTCAATCGCCATCCTATATTCTTGACACTGTACCGGAGATTATTAGTTACGCTTTGCAGGAGGTTACTTTTTACACTGGTGGTGGATGCCACAAAAATGGAGTGGATATGTATTGGTAGGTTGACTTAATTCTAAACAATTTTTGATTTATAAAAATGATTCTGAAAGTCGATAAGTAGTTTTGGACCTATTGGATGAAAGTGTCAATTTTTCATGGCGAAAATACGAACATTCACAAATTTTAATTGCAATATTTATATTCATCCAAATTGGATTTGAAACAAATGAACACATAGCAACCAATAATTATGTCAGTGATGGCAGTTCAAAATTGACACTCTTAGTTTTTAAATTATGAGCAACAAAAATGTTCAGAGTAATAGTAGTAGTCACATTAGCCAGCCAAGCGTATGGCAAGGTTTTTTAATTTCTCTGCATTATTTTCCAATTTAAAACCATACATATTTAACGTAGTAAAAAAATCATGACCTACGTTGTAATTTACAGAATTCAAGATTCCGGTTGCACGCAAAAATTTTTTAATCTCAAAATATGTGAAATAATTTCAAATGAAAACGTTCTCATTTTCATATCTCTATGTCAAACAGTTTGAGAGTAAGAAGTAATAAGGTCAGTAGAGCTCAATTAAAAAGGTCATCCTTCGTTTGTGACATCTGACAACTAATTGTTTGAAAAAATATTGAGAATTTTTTTAAACAATTATCTTGGAATGGAATTTCACTACAGAGATCTTCAATCGAAAACTGGGTTAATCTAATCAGTGGTGAAAACATGTGTAGGGAAGTTAAATTTCTAGGACTGCATCTTGACTCAATTCTGACATGGAGAAAGCACTGTCAAGAAACATCCAAATCCTTGAATTACTGGTGCTACTCTATAATACGGTTACGAAAACATGTCACACTAGACGTATTAAATCATTTTATATTTTGGGCACATTCAATGCAGACTAAAGTATGGACTAATCTGCTGGGAAAATTCACCAGTCGATATTCTTACTCCAAAAAAGATTAATAATCCGATGCGGTGTACGACAAGCAACATCATGCCGACGATTATTTCAAGACCTGAAAATAATGCCATTAGCAAGTTTGTACATACAAGAATGTTTAACCCATACCTTTAAACGAAAGCATATCCTCGGGAACACTGCAGCGACAGTTTTGGAGCACAACACAAGAAGCAAGAATAAAATCCTACAAGGACGCAGTTTTTTCACAAAAATTTTGTATATGTCGGCATAAAGCTTTTTAATAAATTACCAGATGATATTAAGGAAATAGTTAATTTAAAAAAATTCAAAAGTAAAAGCAAACTTCTGCCTCTAAATGGTAGGTTTTACAACATAGACGAGTTTTATGAGTCGACTCTATAGTTATTTACGTTGTTACCAAGATTTATAGTATTTGTTTCTTGTACGTTGTAGGTATTGTTTGTGAATACCTGTACATTTGTGACATATTCATATATGTACATTTTTGAAAATGTCTTAATTGTATAAATAATATAGGTAGGTATTTCAGGAATTATTGAGAAACTGAGGAAAGTATCGAAAAGGTATGGATATTATTAAATAACAGAAAGAACCAAATTTATTGCACACAACATAAAAAATTTAAATAATAACTTCTCCAGCGACAGTTAATAAATAAACTAAACACTAAACCTTCCGTTTATTAATTTTTATTTATATAAATAAATGTCATTGTATTGACCTAATAGTACAAAAGCTATATAAATATAAAAAATAGAAATTTAACACTCACAAAATAAAAATACTCATTTTTCGATTTTGTGCGTGTTGATAATATTATACATTTCTAATGTAGAAAAACTCACATATTACACAGTGCCATAATAAGAAGGATACATATCTATAGCATTACGTAAGATATGTTCCATCTCATTCTTTTGATATTCGGAAATTTGCCATGCACTCCAACCGGTGCGGCGATTTCTATAGTACGCATAAAATCTGTGCGCCTCCTCACAGGCACTCGAAAGCTTAGTGCGAATAGACCTTAACCTCTCCAGCTCATTTAAATTTTGCCTAATACATCTGTAGCTCCAATTAAAGCTAAACTGGTCGAGATTATACTCTATATCTCTAATTTTCCGCTCTACCTTTTCAATTTGCATTTCATATATGCATAAGCAATCAATCGTGCGAAAGTCACTGCCTGCGATACTGAAATTTGTGTAAAAATTAGGAGGTATGTCGTGATAACGAGTGGTGAGATTCTCATGTGGATCTGGTAATGGCAGACCATCCCAGGCGTTTTCGACAGCCTGGAAACAATCTGCCGGTTTTGAAAAGTTATACAGTGGCCAACGTGACTTGTTATTGCTGCATGATGTGTGATTTGCTGTTTTACTTTCACTTTTGTGGGTTTTTTCTGACTTTTGACGTTTATTTTGTGAATTATCTGGTTCCGCAGATCTTTTGACACCTGTCTTAGATTGTTCTTGTTGTTTAATAACTGTAACATTGCTGGATCGACTAGAGTTAGTGGTAGAATTAGGTATTTGTTTATTTTGACTTGAATTACATTCAAAAGGTAATTTTGACTCTTTACCGCTAGTTTCCTCCAGAAAACTCAACTGATCATTAGAACCACCAAATATAATAAATCCAGATTCGCTTTCAGGTTCAATATGTTTTTGACTAGAAGTAATTGCATCTTGCCTTATCTGACTATCTATATCCAAACTAGTGATATGTGACCCTGGCTTATGAGCGCAAAAAATATTCGCACAGTTTTGACTACATTGTCTAGCTGATAAGGTTTGCTTAGCCTTTGCAAAATCTAGACTAGTCAGAGGATCAGCTTTGGTTAATTTGGGGTCAGATGAAACTGAAGGATCATTATAGATTTTTGGACAAGTAATTTCAGAGTCAAAAGGTAATGGAAGATTAGTGGCTTCAGTGTTATTAGACGAAACTTCTGTTTCAATAAATAAGTCTTGGTCAATAATTTCAAAGTCAGGAGATAATGGAAGGTTAGAAGCTTCTGTGTTATTGGAAGGAACTTCAGTTTCAATAAGTAAATCTTGGTCAATAATTTCAAAGTCGGGAGATAATGGAAGATTAGAAGCTTCTGTGTCAATAAATACGTTTTGGTCACTAATTTCAGGGTCGGAAGGTAATGGAAAATTAGAAGCTTCAATGTTATTAGAAGGAACTTCTGTTTCAATAAACAAGTCTTGGTTCATAATTTGGGGGTCGGAAGGTAATGAAAAATTAGAAGCTTCAGTGTCGGAAGGTAATGGAAAATTGGAAGTTTCAGTGTTGGAAGGTAAAGAAAAATTAGAAGTTTCATTGTTGGAAGGTAATGGAAAATTAGAACCTTCAGTGTTATTGGAAGGAACTTCTGTTTTAATAAATAAGTCTTTGTTAGTAATTCCAAGGTCAGACGGTATTGGAAGATCAGAAGTTTCCGTGTTATGTGACAAAACTTCTGGTTCAATAAATAAGTCTGGTATAGTATTTTCAGGGTCGGAACGTAATGGGAGTTTAGAAGCTTCAGTGTTATTCGATTCTGTTTCAATAAATAAGTCTGGGGTAGTAATTTCAGGATCAGAAGATAATGGAAGAGTAGAAGCTTCAGTGTTATTGGATGAAACTTCTGTTTCAATAAGCAAGTCATGGTGACTAACCTCTTTTCTGGCATCATGTAATAGATACTTTGGGAGTTCAGAATGAAATGGATACTTAATAAAATCGACTAGGAGTACACGTACTAATTGAGGATTGACGGGAATTGGTGAAACGGTGGAGGATTCAAGCTGAGGACTTTTGATAATATCTGCTGGCAGGGATAAACCTTGATTCACATCTATTTCCATTATACTACTTAATTTTGAATCAACACTACTTTCGGGAATATTATTCTCTGGTGTAATTTCGGATAAAATAATTTTGTTACTGTTAATACCTACCAACATTGGTACATCATCATTGGTGTTCATGTTACCGTTATCAGATTCCAACAGAGAACATCCAGGATCAGTTGTTCCGGTACAAATATCAGTATTGCCATTAGTAGCACAACCAAAAGGATCAACATTGAGTAAAGGTTGAGAAGGAACTAGCTGATCGGTCTGTGGAAGTTCGTCACCGGGGAATAATTCTTCAACATGCATAAATTCGGGGCAAAAATCATGAACTTCATTTATTTTTTGTATGTCAGTTTCTAAGAAATGTTGTTCACTATTTAGAATAAATACACCATCAGCTACCACGCTATTGATACAGTTGTCATTTTCTGTTGGAATGTCATCACTAGATATTATTTCGGAAACACCACTTGGAAGTAAATATTCAGGAAACACCTCATAATCATAATGAATGTCAATATTGTTATTGCATTCACAGATAATGCTCAGACTGTTATTACATGAAAACTCAACACAGTCAAAACTTGCAGGCGTATTAGTGTCTATGTTTGTAAACGGACCGGACACCATTTCATATGCACATGAATTATCATTTTTGGTTGCACCTTTGAGGTTCAGAGAAATTGAGAGAGATTCAGAAGAATCATTAGTATGAGAGGCTCCCATGTACACATTATGATTGTTATAAATAAATTCTCGATCATCCGGTTGGCCGTTAGCAGTGTTTGAATGCTGACAAAAAGTGTCGGTAGAGACAGTTTGATCTGTACAATTGTTACTGAAAATGAACTCTCGTACAGATTGATTGTTGTCACCTTTTGAAATGCAATCATAATTTGGATCAGCAATTAGGATTAAGTCATTGTCATTTCTAAATGCAGAACTAAGCGGAAAATCAAGACCAGCTTTGACTTCATCACAATTAAGATGGATGGAATTCTTTGAAATAATACTATTGTTAACATCTATCCCACTATCAATAAAATTGTTGTTACCTAAACTACACAAGTAACGTTCATTGGCATCATTTGTACGATCACAGATAGATGAAAATTCATGTGCATCGATGTACGAAACTTCCAATGGATTCACAACTGAGGGTGTATTATTATTTTTTTCGTGTATAATGAAAAAAGGCGATTTATTTGGTGAGTTCACTGGGTCAGGTATTGTAGTCATGTGATTGGAAGCACCCACATCTTCAAAAGCCACAGAAGAATGTTCCATTATTTCTTCTGGTGCTACACCTTCCTAAAACATGTTTGGCTTATGATCATGAATGTAGAGTTAGTATTATTATGTAGGGCACGCACACTATAGTTGTCATTGTACCAGAATAGATTCAATACTAAGATACATATAATTAGCAAAAGTTTCTAAATGTTGACTGAATATTTTAGTAATCCAGTACCCCTCTTGTATGTGGAGGGTAGCCCCTACCGGACGCGCCTCCAGGTGGCGGATAGGGGGATGACTTTATGAATGATCACAGGGTTACTGCGGAACAGGCAAAATTGTTAGATGTATCCAATACAGCATCGTGAACCAACTACCTTGTCAGGTTGTCGTGTCGCTGCCAAAGACTTTGCATGAGGTAGAGCAGCGCCGGCATGGTACTGATCTACTTCAGATCACCCATGCCGGAAAACAATGCAACACGGTCGTCTGTAATCATGTCTCAAGGACGACGATGTGGTGGGTCTTGGCTGAAGTGGCCGGACCAAGAGGTGTCAACCTCATTAAAAAAAATCCGATACAACCGAATACTGAACGATCCTCGAGGTCTTCACACATAATATGTTTACAAAATTTGGTTCCAATCAGTTCAGCCAGGAATGAAAGTACAGACGGATCGACAGACAGACCGACATCATAGAGATTTTGTTTGATTCTGAATCCTGGTGCTTCAAACGTGCATGCGCGTCAAAAAAGTGGGGGTCATTTTTTAACCTCCCAATTTTTAGCGTATTCTCCTCAAAGTGAAAAATCGTTATTGGCTGCAGTTTGCCGTACGTCCGTCCGTTTGTCCGTCGCACGTACTTCTACACGACTGAACCGCTCGTTTTGAGACGCTACTAGTTTTTTATCTTAAGAGCTATTGTTCTACTTTTTTCGCTATTTGGTTTGTTATGGTGTCCAGTCTTGAAAGGAATTTTTCTGTACCGGTTACAAAAAAAGTTATTGTAAAAAAAACAAAAAACCGTTTTTTACATGTTTCATAATTTTACAGTTTTGCCGTTTATTAACGATCCTAGAGATCGTTTATAATTTTATATTGCTCTCTGTCGTCTGTCTGTTGGTCTGTCCGTCTGTTCCTTTGTCTGCCTGTCTCTCTATCTGTCCGTGTGAACGATAACTTTGGTTAGAAATGTCCGATCGCTTTGACATCTCCGTTAGTTATGAACTGAATTGCATGAAATTCAATATGGGCATAGCTTTAGCCATATAATACGCAATGCCAAAAGTTGAGTCGAATCGATTCAAAATTCACAGTGCCCTTTTCGCATTTATAAACCGAATTGCAAACTCTTTTAATTATAAAAGTATTTAAATGAAATTTGATACATAGCCACTTGGAATAAAAGCAAATTTAACGCCAATTTCAAAATTTGGTTTTGCGCATGCGCAGTGCCAACTTTCTTATTTATGGAAGGATTTAAATGAAATTCGATACATAGCCACTTGGAACAAAGGAAAATCTAACGTTAGCTTCAAAATTTAGGTTTGCGCATGCGCAGTTCCAACTTTCTTATTTAGAAAAGCATTGAAATTAAACTCGTAGCACGTCAAAAATGGATTGCACATGCGCAACGCTATCTTTCATATTTGTGTCCGGATTTTTACAATTTTAACAAAAGTTGCATCTTACAAATAGGAAATGAATGCAAGTGGAAATGCGCTTTATGTAAATCGTTTATGATTACTTTTGAACTTGTTAGTTTTGCGCATGCGCAACATCTGCAATGCTAACTTTTTCATTTACATTTCAATGAAAGTTTATATGTAAACACTATGAATATAATTAAACCTAACGACATTTTCAAAATATTGTTTTGCGCATGCGCAATGCCAACTTTTGTATTTGTTGATGTTGGGGTTTTATTATTTTATAATTACGTTATTATCAAGAAATATGAATGAAGTAGAATAGCTATTTATATATGAATTTATCTTAAATTTACCATGCAATTATTTTTATATTCAACTTCCAACCCAGACGTGAGGCCAATATCACATCTATTTCCGAATATCTTTTCCAATTTCTGGAAAGAACGAACAATATTAGATAAGGATGTGATTGAATCTATGTTCAGACATTGAATAAGCACCTTAAAGAAGTATAACGCCCGTGTTAACTGATGAAATAAGAAAATCTGCCCAGGATTCTGTCGTCCCTCTGTTGTGGGGGAAAGTGAACCACAAATTTAAAACTAGTTACCGACTGCAGATTTCTTTACTTCTTTAAAATTCCAACGTTGCCAGATTTTTGGCAAGCGCTTTGAGTTTGAATAAACTAGATTAAAATATTGAATAAGCTTTTATTCAATGCCAATAACAATATTATGTAAGGGAAGATCGATCTGAAATGTAAGGCCATAAGGAACAATAAATAAAGTAAAAAATGTAGTTTAATCTAATAAGAAAACAACAAGAACTGTTCTAAGGACCATTATCTTTACATAATAAACAATCAAACTTTACCTAGCTCCATATAAGGATCTGGTAAATATGACAACACCGTTCAACTCTGATAAACAAGGAAAACAAAGGACCCCTAAGTATAACTGGTTTCCCTGTTTAAAATAGTCATTATTTACCGCCCGAGGCCAAATATCCTTCAATATTTGTGGTAATTAACCGCTTTGCAGTGTATGCAACACATGTTACACCACTTTCAGGTTTTCCTATGTAGTTATACTCGTACTTCTTTATAGTGCTTATTCAATGGTTCAGATTAAAGACAGTTGTGAACTAGCCTCAACCAGATAGTGATATAAAGGCACCCAAATATTTATTTCGTATGCATTTTTTTTTTTAATTTTCGCTTTATATTTTCACTTCTTAGTTCTTACGTATACTCAAAGTATTATTCACACATGATACTATTACTCAGTTCTTCAGGATTAGAACTTAGATCAGTTTTAACTGTTTTCTAATCCTTTTTTTTTGCGTGATTCCCTCTATAACTTTGAATTTGTTATTTTGTTTACCAGCTTGCAACAAAATAAAGCATATTATTATTATTATTATGAGGATTATACTTTACACAACCGAATGTTTGCTAGTCCTTTTATTCAAAAGTACCTATTACTTGTTCTTTTTTATTTTACATTTGTTTAGATTTAACCAAAAGAATTAATTGCAATTTTTTAATCACAATTGCTTCAGAAAGTATGTTATACCTTTTTGAAAGAAAGATTCCATAACATCAAAAGTGTACAGACTAATAAAAGACATCTACACATTATAACAATTTATTGACAGTCAAGTGATAAAAATCTTATGAAAATCGGCAACTAAAGCCTTCAAAGGATTGAATGAAATGACTAAAACCCATCTCCCACTTCATTAATAAACAATGACATAATTCAAATAGTTTAGCTAAATGCAATTGATCATTAGGGACAGGTAATTATCTACCCGTCGCGAATTCCATATAATGATATCCACCAACCACATGTTAGCATTTAACAAAAGATGCTATTGAATTATGTGAGATCCCGCAATATGATCCTTCTTTAAAAATATGATACAATGGCCCAATAATGAAAAAACACGATGAATTCTTTCTACCACCGTAACCCAAAAGGCGCTCTTTTTATATTGTATAATTAATACGTAAACGTGCTGAATACTTATATTGTGCAACGTGGAAATGCGAATCAATAAATAACGGTATCCCCTTCTTGAAGAAACCGACAGAGCCCGATGTGATAGGAGGAAGCTGCAGAGTTTACTATTAGGCGATCATTACTTTTGTCAAAGACCGTACATGCGAATATGCAATGGATATTTACTGCATATCTTTCCATGACAAAACATGACATCCCATTTGCCGCATACTTTCTTCGAAGATATGCAAGAAAAACTGAAATTTGCTGATTTCATTTTTATTTTTTTCTGATTTTATTTGAATTAGATACAAAAAAATTAAAAACACCTCATTCGAGACCTCATTGCTACTTTATGAGCTATACAAGACAGCATTGTTAATAATTCGTTTCGGAGAAATTTTATTTTATTATATGACCTGTAAAAAAAGTACATACCTACTGTACTGAGTAGCATTTTTGATTACGAATACAAAGTCGAGTACAAAAAACAAAGTTGGAAACTGTTGGTTTCAACAGAATGGTGCACCCGCGCTCTAATCGTGAGAGAATACCTAGGGCACAAATTTCCTATGAGAAATGACATCTTATGAAAGTGATGCCTGTCTGCAATCTCCAGATCTGTGGACAGAGGATTTTTGGCGCTATCCTCGTCGTCATAATTACTTACTTCCAATAATTATAAAGTTACTTAAAAGTAATTTGAACACAATTCTCAAAGTTTTCCCAGAAGTTTTCATCTCAACCTGCAGCTGATGCAATTTGCAAATACCGACACCAGCAGGTATACCTAATTATCCTGTTTTCTCATCTGTTTTTATATAAGGTGCAACTACCTGCTAGTTACTATACCAAAAGGATAAGTCAGTAGGTTTATGATTGTAAACAATTCTATGAATTTATTTCAAAACAAGTTTGCAGGTATTTGCATCCCTTTGCCTTCAAAGAATTTACCTTGATTTTGATGTCACCCAATTTATAGGACAAAGAAATGTTACATACCTGCTCCTTATTATCAGCTTCCTCACAATTTCCAATATTGATAATCCGATTTGGCGAATTGAAAATTGTTTCGATGTGCATTATTTTGTTATATTCCTTATTAATCTCGGTTGTAAGATACCTATCGTTTAAATACAGAGAATCATCGCTTACTTCTTTCGGTGCTGTAGGTGGAAGTAGCGTGATTTTTAAAGAAACTTCAGATAAATCAATATCTAGACGTTGAGAGCCGTATGTCGGTTTTGGGATGGGATATTTGTATTCCGTACTCGGTTTTGTCGTATCCAGCACTACAACAATATCATGGTCGTCAATTTCTAACACCGAACTTCTGAAGTTTCTTCTTGCTAAAGTCGTTGTAGGTGCAAGAGTTTTCCATGCATCGAGAACGTCTGCAGACTTGTGCGGTAACAGTATTGACACATCGGATGGCTCTGCAAAAGTGTGAGAAAAGTGTAGCCGATTAAATACCTAGCGCTATCGTGTCTTACCTTTCATTAGTTCGAGTGATTTCCCATGTAAAGTGCCTTTAACTTTATTTTTTCGTTTACATGTAATTTGCCTTATAAGTTTAAAAGCAGTTTGATTTATATTACTTTGTGTGACACTTAATAAAAAATTTATTGTGTCTTGAACGGCTTCGTCGATCTTTAGACAAATGTCCTTGCCTAAATTTTGCATATCGTTAAAACCTTTTTGTATATTGTAATCTATAGATAATACTTCATTTGCAAAGTAGATGTTTTTATTCGGAGAAAACTCACCTGTTGAAATATGTTTAAATGATCATGAACATACAATTTAAACCATTACAACATGATAATGCACAAATTCGGTTAATACAACAATAACACGTAATTTAACGAACACAAAAATGGACACTTATTTTAACATTTGAATCTCTTCACGAGGAATACATGCCATAATTCTGCGCAGAACGGGATGCGCAATGCCATCAAATCCACGTGTTTTTATGTCCATCCATTGTATTGCTTTGCGGTATTTATGTAGCTTATATTTTTATAAACAAAAAGAAACATAAATTGCACTTGTAAAGAAATGCATTTAATGAAGGTACCTGCACTACAAAATTACTCTCTAGCACTGACAGTATGCGACTACCGCGATTTTTGAAGCAGAAAATTAAGACGCAGACTTTACCTAATTCAAACTAAGTTGTATATGACACATTTAAGGGCTTACGTGAATTAAGAATAATAAAAGTGTCTTGATTCCTAATTTATAATTAGCTGTTGATTATCAGGTAATTCTCATACAGGAAATCTGATTCGATTTTTTATATAGGTATATCTTTTTGATTCGTCCGAGTAATTGATGATGATATTACCTATGCACACACAGTTTTATGTAAAATTATAATTATTAAAGTTCACGGGAACAGCCTCAAATTATCATACCATATTTCATGAAAAGAAAAAAGAGTCACATCCGCTTTCATTCCTTATCGTCGGTACTAATCGTTTATTGACTTAATGGCGTGTATATCAAGGTGTTCTAGAAGAATCGCTACAATACAAATTGTTATTAATCGACAGTCGACAGAGCAAAGCTATTAAAGCTTTATAGGGAAGTCGCCGGTGCCCGTCTGTCTGTCCGTAAACACGATAACCGCCAAACGCTTGGGCCGATTTGGTTCAAACTTTGCATAGTTGACCGATACTACATCACAAATAACCTATTGAAAATGGAATAGATAGATGGCATCTGTCTGTCTGCCCGTGTGAACTCGATAAGGCAAACGCGCGCCCATAGTAGATGCACGTTTCTTACATAAGCAGTGTGTTCATTATTTGATGCGACGTGGCTGCGATTTTTAGCAAGCAATGGCAAAGACATAACGATATTTTATATCCATAGGGCATAACATCTGCTTTAAAATATCTTAAAATTCTGCATATGAAAAAGGGCACGGTTTTCGCGGTGAGACTTCCAGATCAGATGTCATAAAATTCCAATAGATATACCTACCTAAGTGTCCCTTCAAGAGTCACATATAATTAAGCCATAAAGGGATTAAACGGGCGAACTACTACAGATCTACATTTTACAGGAAAGTATTAAAGCCGTTCCCATCCCTTTGACATCAAATCGCTAAAGCCGACTTAATAACAGATAATGTACAGCCTTTGCGTATCCTTACAAATTTTACGTAGGTAATAAGGGCCCGCTTGACATGGAGCAATACAACGCGCGAGAACTTGCAGAACATAAAGTTCGTGCGCGTTGTAATTGCTCCATGGTCTTTGAATATAAAATTTTATATTCAAAGTCCATGGTGTAAGTGTAAGTTGTAAGTTTCTGACCATTTCTCGCAATGTATCGAGTTACGAGGCGGCAAACCTTATGTTTTAAATATAATCACAATATAATGTATCAAGTTACGTAAGGGCGGTAAACCTTTTGTAAGTTACCGAAGGGTCCTTAGAAAATTCAACATTCTTATACAGCATCTTGTATCACAAGCATCACGATAATAAACTGAAATTCCATCTGAGTTTTATCCTTATTCGGTCCTTATCAAAGATTAATACCTACCTACATAACATTAAGTAATGTAATTAATTAATAATTCTATTATACATATGTAGCCAAGGGCCTAAGGAAAAATTATTATAGAATGCAGCTTCATCAAGTTAGCCCTCGCAATGCAAATTTTTAAACAGTGGTGGTGTTGTGCTAAATTGTGCTGATCCAATTTCAATTTGTGCTGATTCAGAAAATCAATTTTCCTTGAATTGAATCGCGGTCGGCGGGGGTCAACTTCACTTTCAGCCTTAGTGACGCCTAGATATTTTTGAATGGCTTAGAACCCTTCGGACGGACCAGAGGACTGGGAAGTTCTCACAAGATTTTTAACAACCTTAAATTCTCTTAATAGCCTGGTCAAAGTACACAAAATATCCGTAAAATGCAGCAAAAAGTAAAATCCTTTTGGAAATTCAAATTTAGGTAGTTAAAAGGATTGTGCTTAATATGAGAAAATCTTTACCAATTTAGGTAAGCAATTTTCCGGAAGAACCATGGTCGAAAATTTTGTTATTTGTTTTTTCACTCTAATTGTTTAAATAATGAAAATGAGAATACCAATGCCAATGCATTTACCTACAAAATTTGTCTGAAAAGTTTTCTAATATCTTCATTAGTTTTTGAAATATACCAAATTTTCCTAAGAGTATTTTTAAACATCATCAATTTTCAAGTTTTTAATTTTAAGATAGTAAATAAACAATGACACATAGAATCGTAGAGTTTTCATTTATTAATCATATCGAAATCAATCAGTATCATTCATAGAAGCAGCTGCCAGCGGCTTTTAACCTGCTTTTTCATCTTCATTCATACTCCCTTTCATAGCTGAGGCATAGGTGTGTTCATATATGTATCGCGATCACTTCTCTATACAATTAATACCAAGCTGCCAAAAGTCTGGATAAGTTATGCTAGATTTTCTAAAAGACGTCTGATTTTAGCACTTATTATAAATAATTGTCTATTTATTTAAAAAATTTGATATTTACAGAAAAACTGTATTAAGTTTTCAAAGTATTTACAGATAAAGTTTCATTGAAATATATTAACTTTGTCAGTTTTTTCAGTGCATCACAACCTAAATTATTAACTTTTAAATCAAGCCTTTAATAAATTCGGCTCACGGGACGTTCGCGCGCACCCACGAATCAACTTCCGCTGAAATCAATTATATCTCGTACACTTTTCAATTTACAGAAAAACTTTTCAGACAAATTTTGTAGATAAATGCATCAGCTACAAATTTTAATTTAAACTTTTTTCCGTATATTTAATATTTAAACAATTAGAGTGAAAAAACAAAAACAAAATTTTTCACTCGACAATTTTACGGAAAATTGCATACCTATCTTCGTAAAGAATTTTTCATATTAAGCACAACCCTTTTGAATACTCAAATTTGAAATTTCAAGAGGTTTTTATTTTTTGTGAAGCTATATGTGTAGTTTGACCAGCTATAAATGGTCTTTAAACAATCAGAGCTGATAATGTAAAGGTTTTTGTCTTAAAGTACCACATTGCTTAGAATTTTCTTGGCTCAAATACTCACATTAAAAAATGTTTATTGTAATCGTAGCTATTTTTTTTTAACTATTACGATTTATAAATCTTGAAATTATAAAGGTTCTAAAATCCTGATGCTAATCAGATCCCACAAACATAATTTTACATGTTCCTATATTGAAACGTTTTAATACTCAGTATCGAGACTCATATTTAGATTTTTAGAATTGAAAAGTTTTTACGTTGTTAAAATCTTAAAAATGTTTTTGACTCTCAAAAATCCCAGGATTTTTTGATTTCCTATATCTATTTCGGTAGGAAAACGTCCAAGAACTGTGTCTGGATCGTCAAGTCAGTCAATTGTACACTGTCAGTGCCCATTTACTTCAGTAAGTTTTTGTATTATATATAAATATTACACTTGCTGAGGAACTAAATCATTATGCACTACAGTTCACAATCTTTTCACTTTTTGGGACCCTCTCATCCAGCAATTTTGAATTCGGGCACTAAATTAGAATTAATTAAATATTAACAATTTTATCGCCAATAATATGGACATCTTTATTTGAAGAAAAAAAAGTAGGTCCCACCGAGATTTGAACTCGGATCGCTGGATTCAGAGTCCAGAGTGCTAACCATTACACCATGGGACCTTGTTATGAGTAACATAAAATTTTGTGTTAACCTGGTAATTTACATTATAAAAGATTTCTTTGAGTTAAATCATTGAATAATATTATTATTCAATGGTTAAATATAAAATACATAATATAAATATGTATTTTATACATAATTATCATACTAACGTATTGGTTTTACTTATATGTATCTAAGAGAACATGTTGCATATTATGTAATTGAGATTTTCTAGATAAAACATACTCCATATGATCTCGGGTTCCCCCCTTCCCCTTTTAGGTAATCAGCAGTACATTCCGCACATTTGTGTCTGTTAAATGTTTGTCAACAAAATTGCTTAAAATTTTCACAAATGATGCCTAAATTAGACGTCCAGAGCTTATAAACCGCATCTTAATTCATATAAGCAACGAAAAGACAATAAAAGTAAGGAGACCATTTTCTAACCTTAACAAAATTCAAACTGTTGGTCAATCAAAAACAAAAAAATGCCACGATATTTTGAAGCGACGACCGTTTTCAACTTTACATGGGACCAAGTTGCACGCGGCTTTTGGCAAAAGTATCCCAATCCTAACAGGTATGTTCGTATGCAGCTTTTTTTCATTGGGATCCTCGGTTATGTAAATGTAACCTATTTTTTTTTTAGTAAGCATGTTTTGACCGAGGACACAGTGATACGCGAGGTGCGATCTGGCAAATTGTTTTCCAAACGACTGATAAGGAAAACTAATCCAAGTCCGAAATGGGCCGAACGATTCGTTACCACAAAAAATGTCAACATTGTAGAGGAGTCGATTGTTGATCCCATAAACAAAACACTGGTTACCTACACACGAAATTTAGGATATTTAAAAGTTATGGTACGTTTTGCCCTCAAAACATCATAAGTTATGCGCATTTTCAGAGCGTTACTGAGAAAGTTATCTATAAGGAAAGTGATGAGCATCCAGGTAAGACGGTGGCCATACGGTCTGCTTGGATCGATTCACAAATAAAGGGCTTCGGCCGTGCAATCTGCGCGTTCGGATATGAACGGTTTAAGAAGAACTGTAATAAGATGGTAAGGTAATTTGCTCGCTTTTACGGTTCTAATGTTTCTAAATAGGTCGGAGGATTTAATTATGTCTTAGCCAATATGTTCCCTCCACATACGATAACGTCAACGGCACATAATGTTGTAACCACAAAGAGTAAACTAAAAGACGCTGCTAAAAGTGCATCCGAACTCGCCAAAGCAAGAGCTGCTCCGATTTATGCAAGTTTACATCCAAATCAATCTTAAAAGCTGTTTGAGTTTCGTGTACATAGCAAGCAATGACAACATTAAAAATCAGTATTTTGTATATCTTTATTCAAGTAAAGTAGGACACAAGTGAGCTATTTTTAGTTGGCCGAGTTAGAATTAACACAATTTAAGAAGAATCAAAAGACAATTTTCCTGCAATGTAGAGTCAAAACAAAGTATATACAGAATGTTTCAAAAAAAGTTCTGTTGTTGAAGTGGTCAATTGAAAAAAAAAGACATTATTCGGCAGAAACACTTCGTTCAATTGAAATAAAATATCTTACTAATTTCTTAAAAAAATAACCACTTTTGACATAAACAACACAGTGTAAATGTAAAAGTTGGGTTTGGTGAATAAGTATACTGCCAGTTAATTTGAATTTGTGTACTTTCAGTCAAGAAAAATAATGTCCACTCCAATTACATTCCAATTCCTCTAAAAAGTACACTTGGAGCACATCTGCATTTTGACATGGTCTGAAATGTACATTTCTTGCCGGATGCATTTACCAAACCCACGCGAAAATGTTCAGCAACTGATCTTGTCCTCGATCTTGTCTTCAATAAATAATGAGTTGCCAAATTTTTTTCTTCTATTATAGGTAGGTAAATATTAAATATTGAGGGTATTTGTCCAACGTGACATCACTATTGTTGGGTACTATATTTGTGGGTAGTTGCATATCCAATAATTTCTAAGGTCATCCAAGGAGCCTGCATTGCAAAACCGGTTATTTCCACATTTTTCTGGCTAACCACTAAGCCCCATGCCAGTTTAAACTTCAGTTTATAGTTAAATTGTGGGTTAAAGGATTTGATTGGCTAAAATTTCACAAGTTGACCAATCGTGTTTCTGAAATCTTCAGTTAAACTAAACTGACGTATAACCGGGCCTAAGTGAAACAAATGCAGTCATCATTTTTTCTAAGTACATAAGTGAAAAGTCAACACCGGCAGTTTGTTTTACTTAATATTTTTGGCAAGTGGATATAACCAGTTTTACACACATACTCCTTATCTATGGATTTATCTTATCATTTAAATCAAAAAACGTTGGCCACTTATTTTTAAAACCACTTTCTAGGAGCTTTGAGTTTGCTTCTCTCTTTCTAGAACATTTCCTTTTGCTAGTCTTTTTTACATGTTATTTTTATTTTATGCAAGTTCCACCGGTTAGTGAAAATCAGTCAATGTCACTTTGCAAAACATATAAGCAGATTATCAAATTCCTGAACATTTGGTAATTATGTAACTGCATCATGAGTAACCAAACTTAACAACGTCAATCAATTGCAAACCATTATTTAGTACAGAGGATTGGATAATTTCATTTTGATGTTATACACTAAACCACACACACCATTTTTTATTGGTTTAGCGTTTGGTGATTTTTTATTAACTTTTCTTTTTTTTGCATGTGTATACTACACAAAAAGGTGTAAAGAAGACAATCTAAAATGATTACTATGTTTATGATTATCGAGGGTCAAGGTCTGAACACACAATTTTTAATTTTGATGCGATCTCGAAATCTGGTGCGTTTTAAAGTGTTACTTACTTCAAATTAGTTAGTATAATCATATGATAGTTAGATGTGTTAGATTAATATTCAGCTAACTAAAAATAGCAAGCTCTATAAAAGAACAATTTAAAATAGTGGCTATGTATGAAAGTTTTCAGTTGGATAAAAGTAGAGTCGTAATGAAACTACCCTTTTCATAGTCCACAATCAACAACCAGACAGTAAAAAAAAATGGCAGAATATTTTTTTGTTAACCATGATTCCTGTCAGTACAGTACGCTCTCGGCAGTCCAGCACAAACAGTACTCCGGCATTTAGTGACTCAGCTGATCGATTCTATAATCCGCCACTAGTTAAGATGTGAAATATTTGTAAAAAATGCTTTATATCCCATACAAATCCACTAGCCCGGAATATTCAAAAGTGCCGGATTACCAAGCGCCTACTGTATATAATTAAATGTAATGTAATAAATCTGGGGGAGAATGAGTTATAAGTAAGTATAATTCCAATTATAATCAATTCCTCTGTTTATCAAGTGAAAATGTATAGACATTATAATTATTGAAGCCTTTAACTGCCATTAAATTTATGTTGTTATTGTATTTTATAGTTTTTATATTAGTGGTACCACAGTGCAATTAATTGTGTTAATAGTCAATAAAGTTTGTAATCATTTGGCACTTTGTTTTTATTTATTACACATTACAATGTATTTCCCAACTGAAATTACCATTCAACATTAATTGGCACACGATGATAGGCATTGCTGAGCACTCCTCTTAAATTCCAGATATTTTTAAAACTTTCTGGTTGGGTGTTGTAGTCGGAATCCACAGCTTTAACGTGTATATCGAGCTGAAAGGATTAATCGATTAATATTATGAGGAAAATATCGTGATATACCTTTGTTTTTCCTTTTGGTACAGGAATTTTTGCAGACCATAACGTCCAAGCCCAATGTTGAGGTGGAGAACTTGTATCCTGTTGGTCTATGTTAGCGATGTGCCAATTATCACCACCGTCGATTGTTAGGTCAACCCTTATGATTTGTTTACCACCCCCTGACCAGGCATAACCTTTAAGTAAACCATTATTCACGGGAAAACTCTACAGACAATTTCACATTGTTAACTTTTGCATTAAATTTATTTGTGCACCTACATTACAGTAATAGTCTAAGAACCAATGGCAGGCAACCTGTATGTAAATTAAAATCTGAAATATTACTCAGCGAGTCTCATTTGTATGGCTTCTGCCATAAAATAGTTTTGTATTATACACGACGATAAAGGGAAACTAACCATCTCTTTCACACAATGGTTAAAATATCCCTTTATCGTCTTATATAATAAATAACTATTCTTCCTGCATTCTTACAGTTTTCTTGGTGATTTGAATGAGCGTTTGTTCCTAATTCATGATTGTACCTGTAAGCTATGGCTCTTTCAAGTTGGCGCAATAATTAAAATTTTGCATGATACTGACGCTGTGCCTTAAATGCGCAATTTTTGATATTGACGGGGTCTTAAATTCAGAAAAAATATCTGTATTACAATTTGCTATCCACACCTTGCAAAATGAAACCTTGGGTTGGCGTACCTTGTACAAAAATGCACCCATCTTCAATCTTCACAGTTGAGCCAGGCGCAGGTTTACAAATTGCCGACGTAACAGGCAACTCTTGAATAGCAGGCGCAGTACTGAAATCCACATTATCCCAATCGATACTTGGTGAAAAACCTTTATAATCGTTTTGCTGCCAATGGGAGTCACTTTCATTTTGAGAAACGACTATTTTGCCTGAAATCAATATGTCAGTTGCTTCCCCTAAGTCGATAAACCTACCAAGCCATTTAACATTTCGCGCCCCCACGACCCCAGGTACAACAACCCTAATCGGAAATCCATGATCTTTTGGTAAAGGCTTTCCATTCATCTCGTAAGCGAGAAGAACGTCGCATTTTTTATCTACTGCTCTCCAAAATGGAATAGACGCACCATATGATTTGCCTGTAGAATCTGTATCCAAACCTTCAAACTATAAGCTTTTATACATTTCATCAAGGTAGAAAGTTATGATTGTACTTAATTAAAATGAGATGTCTCAAAATGCTTATGGCAAAAAAGTGTGGTGTTTCTGTTTTTTTATGTGGATCGAATAATGATACAATGCAAAACAACTTCCATTTGAGGTACCTGCACATGTTTATAATCGGAACCTTCCTTTATTCCAACTTTATCTAAAACATCTCGCAAACGAACCCCTGTATACGTCGCATTACCTATGGCTGCACAACCCCAATCTAATCCCTTGACGGTTTTTAGCTATAATTAAACACTTTATTTGTAATAATAACATCAATCAAAATGAATACCTTGGACATTTCAGAACGACGATTTCCAGCGCACATAATTGTAGCTGTTATCGTATGTTTTTGAAGACGCTCTAAATCCTTGAACGACAGTACCAACTTCTTTTTGGTACCTTCGACTTCCACCTCTAGTTCGTAGGTTGAGATGTCAACTTCTGGGACAGGTAGATGGTTACGGACGTAGAACAATTCGCTGTCACAAATGATAAATTTAGTGCTAAGAAGGTAGTGTTACACGTTGACTAAGTAATCAATTCTGTAGTCATTTTGGCGTCATGTATTTAAGGAATTTTAAATAAGCAATTTTATTTATTCGCATTGCTTTTGTATGAAAAATTTGATGGTAACAGAAAAAAAACTTAACTTAAATTGTCATGTCATTTTCATGTTAATTTTTTAAATTGTAAATTTAGTCATTTAATGGTATTTATATTATAAATTTTGGAACACATAAGTAAGGGAACATATAATCGTAATCTCGACGTAAGGTAAAAGTGTATTCTAGTCAGATTTTTGTAAAAAGGCGGTTATCGGACAAATTAATTGGCTATGTTTATCAACAACGCCACGTACAAGATAACGAAGGCAGGTGTTTGGAGTGCGGGCGATGGCGGTGGAAATAGCGAGCGACGGCGGGGAACAACGATATAACACTTTCAATGGAGGTGGTTTCACCTTTAAATACAAAAATGAAGAAATAAACGTTGCTGTTTTCGAGTTTAATGAAAAAAGCATAGGCTATTGTTGTGCTTACGTTTGGATTTTAAAACAACATCTTATCTATTGGTTATTTCTTAATGATCTAATGATAGTGAACACATAATAATGATCGTAGGTATAAACCCACTGTAAGTCATAACAAGACAATAGTGCAAAAAGCGTAAGAAAAATTAAACCCGAGGAACACGTCTCTAATTTGCTTAATTTATTTAATATCTTTGCTCACTAGCACCAAAACATAATTTTGGACCTACCATAGGCAAACCCTGTATGTATGATTTTCATAGACTTGTAATGCAATTTTTGAAATGAAATCCAAGTGTGGTAGTGCCACCTTAAAATCTATAGGTATGACAAATTACGCCACTAAACTTCATATAATAAAAATAATTATTTACATACTTGGGAGAAATGAAATTGTCAGCAAGCAATGATAAAGGTGCTTCTGCATTAAACGGTTTCACTGACGCTGGTTTCAAGATTGGATGACGTTTTGGATCATTATGATAGGGATCAGACATATCTTTAACCGATTCTCCCGCATCCTTTTCAGAAATATTTCCTATTTTATACAGAATAGCAATTATCACTTATAGTGGTATAAATTTTACCAATTCTCATCTTTTCAAGCATCTCGTAAATTTGAATCTGATTATGCACGCCATACAGTAACCAAAATGGTTCGATCGAATTACCAGCACCCAACATAATTTGATCACCTCCTGGATGTTCCTCGACAAAACTTGTAATGTCGTAAACACCACGCCTAAATATTACCCAAATCTTTGTCGATCTAAAATTGAACATTTAAAATAATAAGATAAATACTGTTTTACTTTGTCGCATGTTTAGTAACTTCCTCTAGAGAGTACTCGGGCAAATTCGGCTGATATGCACCATATTTGTCCGTGTTGATCTGCTTTTCTGCTTCCTTTAGATATACAAACTTATTTTCTTCTGCAAAACATTTAAATAAAAGTAGTGAGAATAAACAACAATTACTTACTGTAAATTTTATAAGCTAAAAGTGAAGAAACAGCTGCTCCAAACAAAAGACCTGCTGTGTGACTTCTGCTTCTATGTTTATTGCTGTTGAATTCGTGTGTACAACACAACCGAATCCCATTATTTATGCGTTCACCTGAATATCGCAGGGTGTTTGTCAGCCTACAATGTAACAGTTATTACCTTAGCTATAACTGTTAAAAAAATATACCTAATATACTTGTACATACTTTCAATTTGCCAGAATTCAAGACTACACTTATCACAAACGTGAAGGTCAAGCACGAATTAAAAATATCTAATTGAGAAACTTTTATCTATTCATCTTTATGAATGAGGGGACTTAAAATTTATAAACTGTATTGATTCTTGGTTCAAACAGTTTTTATAGAGGTCATGTCATACTCGAAACATTTAAGAAACATTAAGGCAGAAGTTGAAAGCGCCCAAATTGCGATATCAATAAATAATAAACTTTTTCTTGTTGTTCAAGATTCAGTCTAAGGTTCAAGATCAAAACAATAAACAGCTGATTTCTTTCAAATCCAGTGGTGTCGCAACGGGAGCACCACAATTAATTAATTTATTTAAACTCAACCATTGAATTTGTAAAAATTCAATGACTCAACTCAACTCAAACCTATTTTTGTTTCCCTTTTTATAAAAGAAAAATATACAGTACGAGTGTAAAAACTGGAACTACCACAATAAATCTTTACATAAAGCATTGTATATGTGTAAACGAACACATTGGAAATGGGTTGCCAAAAAATAATTAAGTCAAGTGAATTAAGTTAATGTAATTGATATTTTTATCTGCTTCTATCATGCGCACTCTCTTACATTCGATGCGTACACCAACACCATCAGCTATTACGTTGCGTCCTTCTCTTTCACACGGAACAACACATGTTTCTCTTTTGCACGTCACGAATTGTGACAACCGTACTTACTGTTCCATGGGAAAGAAAAGGTCAGAAATATGAATTACATTAATTTTAATTAAGAGTCTTGATTTTTTCAAAAACGTTTACTTAAGACTTGTTGTGATAGTTCCAGACTTTACACTCAGACTGTATGAGTCCGGCTTTTACTATTTTTTCAACCACGTTGATAAAGAAATCCTTCTTAAAGCACTTTGCAGGTCCATTTCAGAGCCTCTCCTAGATTTTCCTACATTCCTTACACTTTTGCTAATGCTTTATAACGCCTTTTCATTGTACCTACGATTATTACTTTTTCTGTACCTTTTTAGGCACCTAACAGGGCCCTTTCGAGAGCTTAGTCCCTTCTAAAAGTGTATAGGTACTTGTCAGGGAATTTTAAATACTGTCCAGGCTTTTATGGACTCCTACATAGGAATGGAACGAAGTTCCTTCAGAAGCTTCAAAATTTTAAAGTCTTTTAAGCACGTTTCAGACCGCATGTTGGTATATGTAGTCTTTTTAAAGGTCTCTAGGCTGTCCCAGAGGGTGTCAAGTCTTTCCTACAAATTTTTCCAACTCTTGAGCGTCATAATAATGTTATACATACTTAGGTAGGTCTTTGCTAGTGTTATGTAACCATACCGAGGTTCCGGGAAAGATGGGTCCGTGCTCTTAAGGCACCATATAATAGATGCCCTTCCATTGCAGTTGCTAACTGGTATAACTCAAACTTTAAAACATGTGCCACTTAATTATTGACTCTTATAATTTATAAGTAATTCAACATTAATTAAATAAAAAATAAATGGTTTGCAGTTGTTTTTTTATTTCATTTTTTCCAAAAATTGAAAGTCAAATCCAAAAACTTGAAAACGTATCACTTTCGCTATTATGTCCATTAGTTGTTATCTTGAAGTGTTAATAAATATAATTACAAACTTTTAACACTTTTGGTGCCTCTTTCTTGGTCGAAATGTCACTGATCGTTGGCTTACATCTCGTCTATGATGCCTCTTGTACTTAGAATTGTATCAGGGGCGCAAAGTTAACTAGTGGTACAGCGCGGCAACAAAAAAATGTTCAAAAAACATATTAAAATTCTCCTTCTCCAAAAACGACGTTTTGAGCGTCGTATTCATCTGACTTATCAAAGGATTTTGATTCCTGAAATTTGAAAAAATTGTTTGTTGATAGCAAAATTAACTTTTTGTACATCAAAATGCGAATTGTACTCTACTATAAAAGCCATATTAGACGATCCAATTTTCTTGCACCATGTACACCATTCTAATCATACACTTATTACCTACTAGTACCAATGAATGTAGCATTGGTACCACTGGATGATACTTGAAAACGATTTCCAGGTCAGTTGTAGCTCATGTCATTCTTTTGTTTTCTTTCTTGCAGTTATTTCCTCACGTTTTCATCACGCCAAGCTTTACGTATGTGGACAGAAGAGGTTGTGCGAAATTGTTTTCCTCATCACCTCAGTGTCCTGTTTTTTAATGTCAGGACAAATCAGGTGGAGTAGCTTTTCAGAAGTTCTGGTTTTATCTTTCATGGTGCTCTAATGAAAGGTCTCGACGAAGGAATTCATTTCTACCAACCATGATTTCCTCTGTGACTTCTAATCACGATAGGATATAAATAATTCCTTATACCTCAAAAACAAATTGCCGGAGACTTGAAAAAGATCACACCATGTTCCAACATGTAGATGGTTACCTTGTCCTCAATACGGGTAAAGCTATAAACAACACCTAATAAGTCAAAATCGAGTAAAAAGTAATTTTCACAGTTGGCAATCAAATTCAATTACTAAAGGTTACTAAGGGTTTTTTTAAAAATTATCTTAAATCACTGAAAATAGACAAACGCCAGCGCATTTTGGAAAATGACATTTTTCGTTTTTTCGACTATAACTTCGTTGTAGAGCTACAAGCTTAATATTGTACAATTATTTGCCCATTTCAGCGACTTTGTACCACTTATGGTTTACAAGATCCCCATACTAAACATTGGAAAAAAAACTCACCAAACCCCCCCCCCCCCCCCACCTACTCAACCCCACTATACATTCACAATTAATATCCGTGCTTAAACCCGGATTCGAACCAGGGACTCTTAGCAACTGCACCACATGGGCGGGCCACATCATCATTTCCAGAGAATCAATTGAGCCACTCTTCTGAAAGTGTTAATACAATAATAACCACAGCTTAAAGTCACTATAAATAGCAAAGGTGTTTGGTTTGTTTGAGGTTGCTTCAAATACACAAGAGTAGCTGTCCTGTGTCCGTTGGCCTATTATAAATGCAGTGTTGTCACATGACCACATTTGTGATGAAACTAAACTTAGTTCATTCTTTCTTCGACGAGGCAAACACTGAAAATTCAAAGACATGGATTGAAAATTCAAAGACATGGATTGAAATTACAGCACAATACATTACTTAAAAATTTAATAATAATTTTTATACAGCTTTGTATATTTCAAATTATTTCCTGAGAAGGATATGACAATTCTACGAAAATTACAACATGTGAATAGGTACCAAAGGTATAACAAATAGAAAAAATTGTGCTTAACGATATAAATAGTCACACAGCGTGTATATATATAAAAATAGACTCAAATTAGTTGCTTATTTAACAAGTACCGTGGTAAACAAAAAATTATTACAAAAGGCGAGTCTTATTTTTCACAAAGGTATTGCACATAATACAACTACAAATTGCTATGCTTTGATACTTCAATTATTTTTTGCACACAATAAAATTCGTAAAGGCATGATAAAGAAGTTCAAATCTATGCAATGGCATAGAGCAAGCAAGAAGAAGTAAAGAAACCACTCACCCAATAAAACACAGAAGCCTGCACAGTAAAATTTAAAGGAAATTATGTGGTAATGAAATGGTACCAAAAAGATAACTTGAAGGACAAATCGGGTTGGAACAGACAACAGGGTATGTCATCTTGAGAAGACCAACAAGCACAACGCTTCGATTTCTCAAGAGACAAAATACTAGTGACATTGAATAAGTTGAGTACCTCAAAGTATCTGAGCAGCATATTCAAAAATAGAACATCTGCAAGCTGTGACTCACGATGTAGTAAAAAACTATTACTAAATGAAGTGAGGGAGGGAGCTGTCATTAAAAAAAAGGTAGGCCTAGGTCACACAGTATGAGTTTAGAAAAGAATCATTAATTTAAAAAAGTCTGTCCAGATTTGCACATGCCTACTAGGTTTCTGATCCAGCTGCCATTAAGCACCCATTTTTTTATTTAAATATTTTTGACACTGACAACAGACTCACCAGAAAAGTATTTATTTCCTCCTAGGATCGAGAAACTTACCACCATGCCGAAGAATTGGGTGTTTTGCATAGAATTTTTTCTCAGTCATTTTAAAATAGATTATGCTGCCGAAAATCGCCTTAATTCACATTAAAATTAACTTTGGCTTTAAGGTATGCACTTCTAATACTGCATTTCCATAGAATTGATATTTACCCTTCACATTGTTTTCAAATTATAACAGAATGTTTGTAGTCAATGTAATATTGGATTTGATGTAATTAAAATTGGAGCTGAACCTAAAGGTTATTCACAATAAACTAGATATTTAAGAACATAATTTAAACAGAGCGCAGAAAAAAGATAACTTGTATATTACTTACATGTTATGGATTAAAAAATAAGCACCCGCCTTTTTCAAACAATCATACAGTATAAAATAAATTAGTTTACAAAAAAATAAATAACAATTACATTACATCAGTCATTCAATTTTATGTTCCCAGTCTCAAAACTAATGGCACACAATAAATTGGATCATAAAAAGAGAATAAAATTAATGAAATTGTCTTAAAAGTATCAGTTGCTCCCCTAACTTTATTGTGCATTTTATCACACTATCAACATCAGTATTTTAATAAAAAGCAGCACATCTAGAACAATGTTAACAAGGAAGATCACAAACAATTTCATTTGTGCGTTATATCAAAGAGACTGAGAACGTCCAGGTCGATGAGCACAATAAAAATAAATTCACACTTTGTGAGCTTAATCAGCAAAATAGGACTGCAATTCTATTTTGATAAAATAAGTTTATAACAATTTCCTTTTTGATATGGCGTCATAATATTTATCGAAAGTTTCTTTACCTGCACAACCTTCACTAAATGATGAATATTGCCGCTACCAACTTTGTATTGTAAGCGTTTCTAAGGGAAAAAAAAATCAATAAATCAAAAAAGATTATCCCTATTTGTTAATTTAAAGAGGTGACCTTTTTGTTTTTGTCACTTAATTATCTACAGACATTATTGATTTTGAGGTAACCACAGAAATCAATTATTACTCACCCAACTTCATTTTTTTAACAGTCTCATGAAGCTAAAGTTGAGGTAGGCGACGCCTCTATATTAATTATAACTTGAACTACGTAACCGGGTTGTATTTTGGCTTCCTCCACATGTAGCTTGTCACCTAATAACTTTCCACCGAAAAACCATCGTTGTCTTGATGATTCTATTCCTTCTTGGCTCTAAAATAATTGTCTTAGTAGAATCATCACCAACCGCTTTACGTTTACCTGTAATTTCTTCTTACACGTGCTAATAGTGTCGGTCGAATACACCGGTAATTTAATATCAGTACAAGTATGAGAAAGTCTTAGTTTAAGCACAGTTTCTGTTCCACCATCGATAGGTTCGGAACAATCTGCGGGCGAATCACGTCCGCTATCTTCCTTTACAATATTAATAGGGTATGATAAACAATAAATGGGAACTTGATACCGCGTTCCTAACTCATCGTAACACTCAGTCAAATAACCGTTTGGCACTGACACACTTGCGCCATCCAATATTGCTTGCGCTAACTCGTAATCTTTAGCTTCAGCTGCAATGGCTGCAGCACGTAGAGCGTCCCATATCTCTTTACGTCCGTCGAACGCTGGAGCCGTATCCCAAAACTCATCGCGCTTACTTCGGAGCTGCCCTTCAGTTAGCGGCACGTCAGACTTCCAGCGTATCGTTTCATGACACAGTGGATGGTTTTTCCTAGCGCTTCCTAATTAAAGACACACAACATACACGATATCAAAAGTGTAAATCTGTTACCTGTATTCGCTCTAGTAACTGACCCTGACAGGTCGTCTATTGCACCACTTCTAGCACGAGTTATTCCTATACAACCGCCCATTCTGTAAATTTCGAATTTCGAGGCATTGCATATTTATAACAATTAACATCTGCAATAAACGCTGCATTTTCTATCCATTATATTGGATTTTTCATAATTAATTCTGGATTATGAAGAAAATTGACATTCGTGACATTTAACAACACAAATCTGTCAACCCCCAAACCATAGATCATATCAAGGGTTTTTAAAAAACAAATTGCCATGCCAACTTAAGGACGACAAATGCACTAAAATATATATATAGGGCATCTACAAAAATGTAAAAAAAGATACACAGGGTAAATTATTTCGCTTAATATCTTAATCGGCATATGAGATTCATGGCAGAATGACTGCTGTGTATGGTGATAAAAGTTTCAACAACACTATCATCAAAATGTGGTAGGCACGGTTCTGAGAAGGGCGGGAGTCCTTGTGCGACGATGTGCGAACAAGACACTTCAATGTGAAGATTACGGAGGAATGCATTGCTCGTGTGGATATGAGGCGGTAAAGGCCAACAATCACATCACAGAGGACGAGAGTTCCACCATAGTTAACATGTTGCTGAAGAAGTACTTCAAAGGTCGTTGTTTCAAGTCAGACGTAGAGGACGAGGTCTGTGATTGGATCGCCCCACGCCAGAGGGAATTCTGGGGGACGAGAGGTGGCAGAGGAATTCAACCACATTTATCAAATGGTTATGGAAAATTTCATCAAGAGTTCATATGTGCCAGCACTCGATATGGTATTCCCTACATTTATGAATCAATTAAAAAATCAACATTATATATAAAACCCTTGTTAAGTAGAGTGAGTAGTACCAGATACTGATCATCAATATCATAAAACAGTCGTAAAGTGTGTCTTGCTAGTTGCACGATATTTCAAAACCCGCTTTGACGTACAAAGCTCAAATTTAGTACAGATAAACCAAAAGTTGCAAAAAACGAAAAATTCCTAATACTGAGCCCAATCTAGGCAAATTTTTGCCTTCCCTAATATGCCGCTTTGACTAAGGCGCTGCAATGACTATAGTTAAGAAGATATCAAAGATTGACTGCTAATATAAACAGTGCATTTTTATTAAACAAGATTTTTCACTTACAATTGTACTACTACTATTACTAAATTTTTGGTAATCGCTTTAATTCGTGTGTTAACCAAACAGCCAGTGACAAAAGAACTAGTGACCCACTTTGGTGACTGGCGGCTAAAGGAACTGGTACATACATGAGTAAAGTTGATATTCCCAAAATGACCTATAAAATTAAAGTTATTAAGGACACTTATTGCAAGCTACTGTTAACCTGTAGCCAAGCCATAGTTGCAAGAGCATTAGTGGCAATATATGCTCTAGGTGGCAAAGTGCGACGCTTTGACAGTATCCATAATGTTGAAATTAAAGTTAATGTTGTGATGCCGAGAATTCTGTGATCGAACTGTACTGTAGTGGGGTTCTCAGTGAAGTTCTTTAAAGTAGGCTTATATGCTAAAATATCATCAGGTATCCATTTGTCAGCCATTTTTGGAAACGAGTTATACACTAATCCTCCATCGATACCCGCCAAAAGAGCACCTGAAAGTCATACTCAATTTATTGTACACAAGAACAATGTGGAACACACCTGAAACTGCAGTGAAAAACACCATTCCTTTACAACTATGGGCAAACATGCGAAATTTACGTGCGTTCTTAATTGCATTGTTGCTTATATTGGAAATAGTTTCAGCTGGCAGTAGATGATCCAAAGACGACCATAAGAATAAGCTATATAACACAAATGCTAAGCTCAAGTGTGTTGCCAGTCGATATTGCGACACTCTTACTACAGTATTATCATCATCCTTTTTCTCCAAGCCAGATTTGACCATATACCACCCAAATAAACCCTAAGATAAAAGATAATCATTTAAATACAGAAGGTCACACACATTACTTGAGCTAGGATTAGCCCGCCAAATGCAGAGATGCGAATTTTCATTTGAGGTGTAAAAGCGCCTCTAGTCCAGAAAAATACAGCAGGCAAAAGGAAGACTGCACCAATAGCACGCCCCCACATTCTGTGCGCGTATTCCATGAAATAAATGAATTTAAATTCCGTAAGGGTCATGTCAGGCCTTTGACTGCAATCATTAAACATACATAAAATTGTACACAAAAATATTGAAAATTATACAGTAGAAACTCTGGAAATTGTTTGTATTTGCTAAATTCTGCTATCCACTCCTCCTCGGTTCTTGGCATTCTTTCGCCTAAGAGTTTCCATGTAACCATTGACAGACCAGACTCAGTTAAACGAGTAACACCACCTTTAGATTTTTGAAGGTTTTATTAGTTACCATTACATTATTTTACGGTTCTTTTTATGATCTCTTTTAGAACGCTACATATGCTTATTAAAATAATTAAATAAATAGAAACTATACCTAAAATTACAGCCACGAATACCATTCCGCTACTAGTCAACAGCCAATATCCGATCGCTTTCTTGTACCTTGCGACTGCATTCGATTTTAACCTTGTAGATATAACGCCCGCCTCACTACATAAACGCGAATGCTGTAAAAAAGGTCCGATTGTATTTGCACCTTGTTTCGTTTAACTAACCAGAAACTTCTTCAACACTGTACTTCGGGCTGTACAGTTATTGAAAGCGCCTCTTCGCAATTCGCGAGGTATTAAATTTTGGGGTTTTTTCAGCAAGGATGTAGTCGACACGGAAGCGAAGCGAATAGCTGTAGTTTTACATAACTTGGCAACACAAAACATTTTTATACTGTAAATAAGGGTTGTTGATATCTACGAGAAGAGTACCTTTGTAAATATTGGTCAACACTCAACATAACCTCGTATTCCGCCCGGAATTCTGTTATAGGAACTACGAGTCTGGAACCAAATGAACTACAGAAAATTCATTAGACCTAATATGCGAAAGGAATCCACAGATATTTCGGAGTTTGTCCATAACCATTATAATCTTTTGTTACAGGGATTGTATTGTATAATATGGGCATTGAATTTAATTCAATGATATGGGTATGCAGGCAGGCAAATGTTGCAGGCCAATGTACAATTGGACAATATACCTTTTGTAGAATACATGGATAGGAGCATTTGAACTACATATACGTGTTTGGACCTACCGTCACGATTCACGAAACAAAAAATATTGTTAATTTTAATTATTATACCCTCGATTATAGGTACCTATGTATAATTAATTTTTTTGAGAATCATGAGCTGCTCAGTGTCCACGCAAAATTAATAAATGCGGTTATGCAAAGTACAGAGATAATTGTCTGATAAGGTTTTAACCCATGAACTACAACAGATATCCATGTATCAGATTAATCTGAAATGGGGCATGAGAATGGAAGCAAGAGTATTAAAAGTACCACTATAAAACAGGTATTTCGTACTATGGATTATGGTACAATAACTGAAAATGTAAGCTCTGCCAAAGTACGTATTTACTTTAGGGCGATGTACATCTGATTGTTTAAAGCGATTTTTAAGGCATGGTTGGAAGATTTAGCTGCTATAGGTGCATATAAACGTGATATTGTTTTATCTTATGGCAAATCACTTCTTGTTCATAGTAAAGGTTTGGACATACCTATACAAGTTATTAGTCCATTACCTGAAGATGTCGATGAAATTGTGGCTGCCAACAAATCTGATTGGACTGGCAAGCAACGATCAGTTCTTCTTTATAAGTAAGCGACATTGTTATTTTCAGTGTAGTGTAGGTAGATATGTTTTAGATTGTCAATTGAACTTGAGAACAACTCGTCACTGATCTGCCAGTTAGAAGTTTTAATACGAGGGATTTTATCAAAACATGCAATGTCCTCGCTGCATTTACTAATTGACCATCTGAGATTCTACTCTGGTTATGCGGCTACAAATGAAAAGAAAATAGAAGGTTGTAATTTGTAAAGATCGTTTTTCAATATCAATGGATTATTGTAGGAGTTTCTTTAAGTGTTGTGTCTGACGATGTTTTTCTTTCTGCTTTTGGAAACATTTTGGGACCTGCGTTAGCTGCTGGTGGAGATGTAATTTTGCAAACTGAACCACGTATTAGTGTTTTGGCTACACTCTTCAAACAATTGGCTGAAAAAGTGGGGTAAGTATAGACTGCCGAAGGCAGAAATTGTTTATTAATAATCATGGGATTATATAACTATGATCTTGATGTAGATGAATTGTTTTAGGTTTCCTAAAAATGCCATACGACTGTTACCTGGTGATGTAAATTTAACTAATTTACTTCAGAATGATAGCATCGGTTTTATTAACTGTTTTGGAAAAGTACTTGGAAAGACATTTCCAAATTTGGAGAGTTTGGTAAAAGCTCCTGTGATTGCAGGTTTCACATAAATCAAAACATTATGTTTTCAAGTTAAGTTCATATATGTTTTAGTGACAAAAACCAAGGGGCCAATGATTGTTTTCAATAATGCAGATTTGGAGTCTGCATCTGATGCTGTCATCAATGCTGCTTGGGGTTCTGCAACTGTTGTAAGTAATCCAGAATTCAGATAGCACATAACAAAGTGCTTATTTATTGCTAATATTGCTGTACGTTGGAATTTATTGTTTCGCCCATTTCACATTTTTAACGAATTTTCAAATGAAGTGCGGTATTGCAGTCACTTTGTTTGTCTGTCCGTCCTATACCTTAGTACTTGCCAAAATGTAAAAGGTTGGAGGCCCAGCTATTTACAACAGTAAACTACAATAAATTAATTTGAAGCACTTTATTCTTGCGTGTAGCTTAATCATCTCTATTTATGGAACAATAAATTACCTCAACCTTTAATACATAATATATCAAATCAATTATTAATTTGAAATTTTAATGAGTTTATTAAGGAAATTAATATTAAAAAAGTAAATAATTTTACAATCCTCAATTCCAAAATAATGTGCCCATTTGAGGGGGTTCCAGCTTAATGTTAAGGTAGCACCCCCAATTTCATAAAAAATTTTCGAAATGGGCTGAGCATTAAATATAAGCACTTTATTTTGTGTGGTAATAAAATTTGATGGTGGGTGTGCTAGTTACATGTTCTCTCATTTGTTTTGTCGTTGTAGCTACCGTGGAGTCTAAGCATCGTGATGGTACAAGAAGATGTCTACGAAGTATTTGTTAGTAAATTGAACGATCACTTATCAAAAGTAAGAATTGGGCCTGCATATGAGAAACTCGCGGATGTGTCATCTGTGCATGAATCCCAGCTGTTTAACATACAAAAGGTTGTGGAAGAAGCCAAGGTGGTAGGGCTGCAGGTCCTTCAAAGTACCTCACAAAGTTCTCAATTTCAAACTACTGTAATACTAGGTGGAGATGTGCTCAAGAATGTTAGCTTGGAGCAATCTGATGTGGCTGTTGTAACTGTAATAGCTTTTCGTCACATTAACGAAGCCCTCAGTTTATCAAACAATTTCAAGTCTAAGATGGGGGTGTCAGTTTGGACTGAAAACATCGGTTTAGCGAATGAGTTGGCTCAAAAGCTACAGGTAAAGATAACGGTTATTTTAATAAGGAATAAACTTTATTTAAATTTTTATTTTAAAAAAACTAATCTTCATTAATAATGCACCAAATCGTACACTGTTCAGTGCTTTTTTGTCGTTCACTAAACATTCGAATTTATCATATTAATTTTTGCTGTCTCAAAAGGGGTTTAAAGTAATCGCCTATATTAATAGAATTTTTAATTTCACATGATTCTGAAGACATAGCAAGGAAGATTTGTTTCGGTAACAATTATAGGTAGTACTTGATGGCTGTTCGGTAGAGTATATTATATTCAAGTACTTTATTCTGAAACACCATACAATACAAAAGTTTCTATTTTCCAAAACGTGGATATATTATTACATTTTTTTCTATTGTGGTGAGAGAACTTCCCTGCATTAAATGTAAATCCTGTAAAAAATTTACATAGGAACACTGTTTATGATGAAAAAAATCTATTATACCATTGATTATACTACGAACAATCAATGATTATACCTACATATACTATATATATATGTACTATATGTATAATATTGTTGCTTTTGAAATTGGGGCATTTAGAATGGACTTGGTTGTTTCAATTGTTTAATGAAGGTCAATTTTGCTTTCTTTGTCTAATGTCGTGGGTCTATAGTTAATCTTGCCACAAAACAATTTTTCAATACGAGCGTGCAGTTAAGGTTATATTTGTTTATTTTCTGTATCAAATAGGCATTTCTGGGAATTTGAAAGTTTCTAAAATTATTCTATCTCTAATTTTTATTTGTTATCAAGTTGCTTGTTAGCCCTAATGTGACAGTTCCAGTTAGTTTATTAGGTTTTTCTTTTATTTATAAGAGATAAAGATAATTGTTTCGGAGGGAACGTCATTGTAATCATTAAAAAAAATTGCATTATTTAAGCATGAATATCTTTGGGAAAACGTCTAAACACATTACACAATAATGCTCAAGAAGTGAATTGCATGCATATTTGGTATCCACGTATGATTTGCGTGCATTATTTAGTTCAAAAGCTTACTAATCTGCTTATCTAGCGATGGCACAGACTATTAACATTTTTTTTTTCAGTTTTCGAACGTTTGGATTAACAGCTTTGCGAAATTTTCCGCATCGCATTCCACGTATCTTGACAAAAATAGCGGTGTTGGTTACATAGGTGGAGTAGATGGTATGTTGCGAAATTAAATTTTGTGTTTTTTTTTACGTTGTGCTTCAGGTGCTTGTGAATACTATAAAAATGGATCGGATCCTGAAAAATTAACGTTCGATATTAGTGCCGCCCGATCGTTCTATCTGCATGACATTGACGGTTTTTATGGAAATCTTGTTGGGTAATTTAAAACAATACTATAGTGTACAACTTTTTTTATTATCATTGTAGGCGAAGTGTTTCAAGTGCTGTGGTTTCTTCAAAAAAAGGATATGACCTATGGAAGAAGGGAAACATATCTGACCGATTTCGAATGCTCGCAAATCTATCGTTTGCGTTAGAAAGTAGGAAGGAATTAATAAGGTACTAATATCACTTGTATTATAGATAAAATGATTTCATATACTTTTTAGCAAAAATACAGGAGTGCCCTGCTTCATCTTAGATTATTGGGTCTCTACAACTTATAAATTGTATGCACAGTTTGCAGATGTTGGCCAAGTGGAACATAAGGGTTCTCATGTTATAAGGACTTGTAGGGAACCAGTCGGTATAATTGTTATTGATGAAAGTAACAGCCTTTCCACTCTCTTCGACTGTGTGATAGGTTCTTTACTTTTGGGCAACGCTGTCATTGTTTTAAACCTTCATGAAAAATTAATCGACTTTTACGCAGAGATCTACCAATTATTAGCAACTGCAAAATTTCCATCTGGGGTTTTTAATGTTATCTTAAATTGTCAGAATGATACGTTTGATAGTCTCCTTTCATTTGACGACTTAAATACTTTCATTACTTTTACTAGGCGTCCAAACATGAAGATTGGGAATATTAAACGAATATGCGATGGTCGTATGTCGTCTTCTTTATTGTCATATGTAACCAAAACTAAAAATGTCTGGAGCAGCATTGGTCATTCTGTTTTGTAATTTTTTATGAATAAAGATCATTCATTATTTTGCTTTTCCATAGTATCAGATGCAAACCTAACTAGTTCTCATATATTATAAGAAATTCATTGTTGGCTTCAGATTTGCGAGGGAACTATTATTAAATTGTAAGTGCACAAAATTTTAGTGATATTGGTCACTGTGCAGATGAATAAGTAATACATTTATTTGGTCTTAGCAAAGACATGTTTGGACCTCTACAAAAAAAACATATATCCAAGTATCCAACTCATTTGTAAAAAAACATAGTCTGCTTCTAAAATTAAGTGAAACATAAGTTGGTGCAGATTGGTAATAAAAACGAGATTTTTAATGTAAGGAGCAATAATACAATAAGGGATAGAACTATCAAACCCATTGTAAAAAAATGGCTAGCACAGATACCATCCGCATACCTGCGCATGCGCGATTATGCCCAAAACCTTTGCAGCTCTTCCTTTTATTTCTAAGAATGAGTCTACCAAAAAATTTGGTTCCAATCAGTGTAGTCTTTTAGCCAGAAATGAAAGTTTGACACACTTGCGCAACCACGATTCTGGGAAAAGATTCCTGATGCTTCTTGGGGGATCTTTACCCCTACACTAACGTGCGTGTGGTAAAAAGCTGCATAGTATTCCCTATAATTTCAGACGAAAAATGAAGGTAATAGATCTTGGATTTTAGAATACTAAAAAATGTAAAACATACATATATAAATATAAAGAATATATTTGGACATGGTCATGGGATCAATATTGGTATGTATTTCTTTTGTTTTTGGTACGGTTAATAGCTGCATATATACATTGAATATTGTCAACCTATACAGGTATATTGATTTGGTAAAAACAACACTTCTCTTCTTTAATAGACAAAAAGTTTGTATTATTGTGGCGCTCTAATTTACCCATGTCTTTTTAATTTTTTATTATTTGCTTCTATAGATATACCAATTGCGTTATTCCCAAGGAAAAAGTCAGTTGCCACTACGTTAACAGAATCACTCCAATTATCCTTAGTTAACCACTTGTTCAATTCTGGGTTAACATCATCAGCCATGTAATGCAAACCTTTGTAGGGGTACCTAATTATGTACCATGCATCTGGCGTTAACTCCGCCATAAGTGCACAAAACGGCGACTTTGTATGGTGGTGGTCGTTTTTTACTCTATCCAAGTATTCGCGTAATTCATTAACTTTTGCGGTATTGCCCCATTTATGATTAATGTTAAACCATAACCAGTCATTATCTACAATGAAAGCATAAGTATACCGCTACATTGCAGATATAGTAGAATTTTCGTACGTTTGCGCGCACATCATCGGTGTTTTACATCTGAATTAGGTATGTTTACATAGTATCTGCAGCCGATAGAACAGAATAAGTATGTAAGGAAACCATACGAACAGTGCTGCATTGTTGGTATACTGTAGAGGATCGTTAGTGCAAGGGGTATACCAACCACAAAACAGCACTATTCTTATGGTTTCCTGTACATTTATTCTGTTCGAATGCAGATACTATGTAAACATACCTAATTCAGATGTAATACACTGATGACGTGCGCGCAAACGTAGGAAAATCCTACCAAACTCAACTGATTTGACATACCATTCACCATGTCCCAATTGTTATAACTGATGATTAAATTTCTTCCTGTTGCCCAAATTTCTTCAAGTACTGGTCCGTTCTCGTGATTGAAGTAGCTCCGAGGTAATGCGAATTCGCCTAAAATTTCTTCCAACAATTTTACCACTATATAGTGTTCCTCGAGCGTAAACTTAGATGGATATTCAAAGCCTTTCATGTGCAGTATTACTACCTCCTTCGGTGAAGCTTTGAGAAATTTGGCAACATGTAGCAGCTCCTCACGCAGCTGACTGCACTTAAATCGACCATGATTTATCCATTCTCTGGAAATGATTGCGTCAATTATACGTCGTTTAGTGTAAGAACAATCGCATAATGTAGCCGCACACTGCAAAACTTATGTCTTTTCTTTGCATAGGCTAGGTAGAGATGAAAATATAATAGCATATAATTTGTTTACAAGTCACAGGCGACCAGTTTTGCAGTGGACGGCTACCTGCGATGATTGACGTGACTGTTTTTATACTAGAAGACGTCACCATGTAAGGGGATTCCGTTAAGGAAAGATAAATTTTTTAGTAGTACCTACACAAAGTACTTACTTTGGGGTCTCTGAGTGATGTATTCCGACTCTAATGTCCAAATACCTATTCCCTGATACTAGTTGTTCCCATAAATTACGGTCTTGGGCCAACAGAAATCGGGTAATTAGGGAAATGTAGTTCGCCGTCCATGCGCCTGAATCATGAGTACCCGGAATCATCATGTTACCTATTCTTAACTTTCCGAAGCTAAAACTGCCTATTAAATCCTGCACCTAAGTATGTAGTTAAACTTACTTCGCCATCCAGGACGGTTCGATTCTCAGACACTCTTCACCTATGATTTCACTTTGATGCCTAGATTGGATCCAAAAGGGATAACAGTGGCTGCCCAAGACCGGGTTTGTGTCATTTTCGTTCCAATTACCAGGGTACCTCGGATTCCCAAATGCTATATTACTGATGGAATGCCCTTCCAGTTTTCCAACTGTGTCGATCTTATGTAAAATTCTCTCTGGTTCCTAAGAATTTTGAAAATTTAAAGTTTTAAAATTAGTTACAAATAGGCTCTTACATTGTGTGATCGCTGTGTTATAGTTAGTGCATCTGGCAATGTTACACAGCTAGTAAAATCCCAATTATACTCCAAATTGTTACTAACAGCATTAACGGTTAAGAAAATTGTGCCGCAACCAGTGCCTGGGGGTGTAATGTGAATCAATGATTTCACTATACCTATTACTTACAAGCCACCTGTTGAATTAAGGCGCATAAAAAGAGGCACAAAAAACAACGCATCTTGTTTTAGCGAAAGCTAAACCCAAAGTAACGTGTGAAATTTTCATCGTTGAAAAATTAATCTAAAAATTATCAGCAAAATCTTGTCTCTAAATGATTAACATTCAAATTAGAAATGTTATATCTCAATCTATTACGTGATAATTTGATAGGCTTAAAGGTCAAAAAGGTATGATCTGCTAATGGAAAAACGTATACGTATATTGTTGCAGATCTTATACTAAATTTTGATCTGTAGAACCTGAAACGTTAACATTTGTAACGACCTGCCAATTGCATATAATAAATTATACTCGAAGAACTGAAGAGCATGTTACGTTCACTATTGAGAACATGTAACCAAGTTACCACTAGATAAGCTAAGCCATGGCAAAGTATGGTGGATTGGAATGAATAACGGGGTTAGCAAAAAGGAAATGCAGTATAATAGTAAACCGGATAGGGGCCACTTAGTCTTTAGTAAATTTCAAAAGACAAAAAAATACCTACTAACGAGAAGAAACAAGGCAGACTAAGAAATCCTTGTTCTGGTCTTGATAAGCTAAAGAAATAAAATAATTGACAGGGATAGACCATAAACAAGAATTGTGGTCACAATCGTGAATCGAGGGTAATTTATTAATGATCTCTCAATGATGTTTAAATTTAAATCAAATTTTACCACAAAGGGGATCAAGGGGAAAATATTAATACAGCAGAAAACAACAAAGCTATAATTGTTAAGTGACTATCAAACACATATATTAATTGCAAACTTTGAACTTCAGATCGCAACCTTTTGAACTCAGCAAGGCGCGTTCTGCCTTATCTGTAACAGATTCCAACACAAACAAACAAATAAGAGGTAGTGAATAGTGCGGCACAAAATATGGGGTTATAGCAATGCCTAACGTCTGACACTTGGGTAAATGGTATACTAAAACCGTAATTAAAACTCGATAAGGAGGAATAATTCAATTTACGTTAACTAAACAAAAGCAAAATTTTGACTCGACAGATCGTCCCTGATGCAATTCGTTGAAACCATTGAAATATAAATAAATAAATCCCCGCTTATTGAATCTAATGCCTACAGACATGTTTACTACCGCAAATAAATTTCGATTATGATCAATGCTAAATCTTTATGACGACGTAGTACATACTGTAACATAAGAACTGACCTACCTATGTAGTTTAGCCTAAGGACCAAATCTAGCAAAAGCTTTTGATCCTGATGCTGATACTGAGCTGACTGATGGAGGCGTAAAAAAAGGTGTGCGGAGAGACCTTGAAGGAGATGAACGAGCGAAAAAATGCACAAAGGAAGGAGAGAAAGAAAGATAGGTGTGACGAAGCGAAAGAATCATTAGAAGGGTTGACAAAGTCACTTTAAAAAATTGAAGGTGTGCATAGGAGAAAAGATGTGAAAGAAGAAGACACGAAGAAAAAAACTCTGAGACAGTTGGACGTCACGGGTTTGATAGGGTCGTGAATAAGTAAAGAGAGCTCCTCCTGAAAAGGGCCAGTGGAAGGCGTCATGGACGTGTAAACGGAACATTAGGGAGGTTTAAGGAAAGGGTGAAGTAAATGGACATGAAGAGGAAGGACACATAAGGAAAAACGATTTCATAAAGTATAGTTTTCCAGTTTACATGCTTCCGCTTCTTAATAAGTTAATTTATAGACAGCATATTGCAAAAGAATAGATTCATTCCGTGTAATAGAGTGTTTTTAGCCTCATCTAGACAAATTGTTCATTTATTTATTGTCCCTCTTGTTCTGGGTCCTCAACAACCTTTCGCTCAATTACAAAGTGACCCGCATAATGCTTTTTAGAGGTACCACTCCTGCAGAAGGTCTTAAGTTGTTCGATTATACTACTCCGCGGTATTTACCTGACGAATTAGGAAAACTGCAAGAAATTAGGAGTAGCCGACAAAATACTCGAAACCGATTTAAGGAAATTCCCATCTCTGCGACAGATGAAAAATTCTTACCTCAGTCCAGGTTCGAACACCCGACCTCCGGCTATGTAATCTAACGCTCTGCTACTGAGCTACAAAGTCGGTCGGTCGGTGTTGCCAGGCTACGGCGGTGGCCTATAAGTAGCTATATATATTAAATAATGTTTATATGAATGATAGCATTTATAATAGCTGGAAAGAAAGAAGTTTCTATGGCTGGCGACATTTTCGTACAGGTGTGAGGTGGCAATATAAATAAATACTTAGTATAAAATATTGTACTTTCCTCAATTTTATGATTAGATAAACGTAACCAAATATTACCTATTATTTTTAGATACATTATATTTGGTACCTGTACCTGTATGTGGATCTACGGTCTATTCAGTATATCTTCCGTTGCACGTCATTGCCTGAAGAAAACGACGTACCAACGTAAATTTACTTTCGTTTATTAGGCAACACATTAAGCTTGTAGTTTATTTTGGCCGCAACAATTGGTAGCATTTCGCTATGTTGTCGCGTTTAAATTTGTAAATTTGACAGGTTGCTTTTGGTTTACTTTTCGTTTGATTTGATTTTGATTATTTTCTACGTCTTTCGCTGTGCATTGGTTTGAAGAGTAATTACTGAAGAATTTTGATAACCCGTCAGTAATTGTGTTCGATAACGGGAAAACAGACAACATTAAAGTGTGGTTAGGAGATCATAATGTGTTCTCCGAAAATGATTTTAAAGCCGAACTGTTGAAAAGGTTGCACAGTAAGTACGTTCGCAAATTATTTGGTATTATCTAAATCTTGTTGATACTTTTAGGAATAAATCAGCTAAAATGTATCGCATAACGCATTGACCACTTAGCCGAGCAATACGGTTACTTCGTTTTACGATTACCACCCTATCATCGCGTTTTTAATCCTATCGAACATATTTTGGGCATAGCGAAAAATTACTTCAATCGACACATGGGTAGAGATGGACGAAGCATTGAAAATTGCATAAACATGTGACAAGAAACACTACAACCGATAACTTCCGAAACGTGGCGCAATTCAGTTAAGGATACGGAAACTGTAATACACGAGTGGTACGAAAGAGAAAAGCAATTAGATCTTGAAAACGTTGCTACTATTATTATAAACTTTGAACACGAAAGCAGTTCCGATGATTCCGATTAATTTGAATATCATCCATCACATCACATAACCTGTAAAATTTTATATTTAGTACTTTCTCTGTAAAAGAGATGCTACATTTGTACAGTTCATAAGTTATTAAAGTATATTGTATGTATATTGTGGTTCCAATTAACGAAATGAATAATAAAAATTATTTTTATTTTATTTAAGGTGTGGATTGTTCACACAAAGAATGCACTGTCTTGTTGACAAGTGACATAACCTAAATCGTTCAAAACTAGATTTGGCATTATTGCATAGTAATTACGTCACAGAAAATGATGACGTGCAACGGAAGTTATACGGAATAAAGTGTAGATCTAGATAGTTTTTCAAAAACGTACCTGTACCTGTATCTAGGTATTTTATTTGTCTGATACGTGTACCTGTACCTAGGTCCCAAAAAAAGAAGTACCTATTATAACAATGGATACTTCTATATACTTAAGGCCGCTTGACATGGAGCAATACAACGCGCAAGAACTTGCAGAAAGAAATTGCAAGGTCAAATCCTTGCATGCAATAAGCATTGCATGGTATTTGACATGGTGCAATTCTATTTCAATTGCCACATGTCTGCCAACAGAAGAAACATATGGATTTGTCAACAAAGTTGTTAACCTCAAATGAAAATTAAATTTTGATTGCTTGAAGAAACATGAAAATTACAAGAATAAATAAGATTAGTAAAAACAAGTAATGAGTGCGTCTCTCAGCATCACAGTTGCCGCCGCTGTATTTTACTAGGTTGGTGACACAAAAACAACTAGATTTATCCCTAGAATTGCACGATTCATGCAAGAAAAATAGCACCGGTCCTATAAAAATTGCATGCAAGTCTCTTGCAGCAATTGATCAGCTGGCTTTGAACTGCGCATGCCTTTCGCAATTTTTCTTGCAACTTGCATGCAATTGCAATTTTTATTGCTCCATGTCAAGCGGGCTTTACAACAATGCAATCACTCCTGCCGATTTACTTTGGTTGAATGCATCATTATGAATGAGTTGTATGCTCGAATGCGCCCATCAACGCCACCAGAGGGAATTGTATAATTTGGTGTGCTCTTTGATTTTGTTAACAACTTGAAATAAATACATAAATAATTAACGTTAATTTAATTCAGCAAATAATACCTAAATCATATATATAAATAACCATTCTACTTATATAAATTAATAATTGTTAAGCGCGGCACCAAATTTAAAAACCAATAAAACGGACGTGACGTAATTTTGTTTTAAAGCAAGCGCACCATTGACGTCTTCCTGTCTGTCAATTTGTAGGTTCTTTTGCATCGTGTAATGGTGGAGTAGAAGGTAATAATGAACTTGTATTTTTCTAGTTTTAAGGGTTTTCTTTCAATTTTCAGTAGTACTAAATGTAAGAATATATTCTTTAATTGATAAAAATTAATTTTTCGTAAAAAAAAAGGCAAAGTTACGGCTATATTTACGTGTACTCTCTTTAAATCGATAGACCACATGGTCTGTATTAAAATGTGTATCCAACTTTATTTTGATTCAATTGTATGGATATTTTGTTCCATTTTATTTAAATATATTTGCCGTTAGGCTCCCTAAAATTGAATGCTGCTTGTTTTTCTAAATAAATTTGTGGTTATGTATTACAATGTGTAAAATATCTCTATGAATATGACGAAGATTTAAGGTAAGTGAAATGTGGGTATATTCATATTACTTTACTTTGTATAGTTAAATGTGTAATTGTCATATTCAAAGAGATGATTTTGCTTCATCAGTTTGAATATGTTCAATTTACACAGATAATTTCTTTACTTGCAGCAGTGAAAAAGATACATCATGCCACAAAACGAATTTATAGAACGTCACCGTAAGCTGTACGGTAGGAGGTTGGATTATGAGGAACGTAAACGAAAACGTGAGGCACGTGAGCCTCATAAACGTGCACAGGTGGCGAGAAGTCTTCGCGGTCTAAAGGCAAAGATCTTCAACAAAGAACGGCGAAATGAAAAAATACAAATGAAAAAGAAAATTAAAGCTCACGAAGAAAAGAAGACAAAAACCAACACAGAAAAGGTCGCGGAGGGTGCTCTACCAGTTTACTTGTTGGACCGTGATGTTCAATCACGTGCGAAGGTACTATCAAATATGATTAAGCAAAAACGGAAGGAAAAAGCCGGAAAGTGGGATGTTCCAATTCCGAAAGTACGTGCACAGGCGGATGCAGAGGTGTTTAAAGTGATACGTTCAGGAAAATCGAGACGAAAGGCGTGGAAGAGAATGGTTACCAAAGTGACATACGTCGGAGAGACATTCACTCGGAAACCTCCCAAGTTCGAACGGTTCATTCGACCAATGGCGCTTAGATTTAAAAAGGCTCATGTTACTCATCCAGAGCTTAAGGCGACTTTCTACCTGCCAATCATAGGTGTGAAAAAGAACCCCAACTCACCGATGTTCACCAGTTTGGGTGTGATAACAAAAGGAACCGTGATCGAAGTGAATATATCCGAATTGGGGTTGGTGACTCAAGCTGGTAAAGTTGTATGGGGAAAATACGCGCAAGTTACGAATAATCCAGAGAATGATGGGTGTATTAATGCAGTACTTCTTGTTTAATTGTAATATTTATAAATAAATACTTTTTTTAATTTTTGCGTTTACTTTCAAATTATTGCAGTCGTGTTATTCGTTCTTTCACGTGTTTAATTTCTTGTAGGAATAACCCTACAAAATGCAGATATTTGTTAAAACTCTAACTGGGAAGACCATCACTCTTGAGGTCGAGCCATCTGATACAATCGAAAATGTGAAGTCCAAAATTCAGGATAAGGAAGGGATCCCCCCTGACCAACAACGTCTGATCTTTGCCGGCAAGCAGTTGGAAGATGGGCGTACTCTTTCTGATTATAACATACAGAAAGAGTCCACTCTTCATTTGGTCTTAAGATTGCGTGGTGGTGCCAAGAAACGTAAGAAGAAGAATTATTCTACACCCAAAAAAATTAAGCACAAGAAGAAGAAGGTTAAGTTAGCCGTACTGAAATTTTATAAAGTAAGTTAATCAATTTGTTAATGCCTCTTAATTGTTATAAATTATAGGTTGACGAGAATGGTAAGATACACAGATTAAGACAAGAGTGCAAAGGTGAGCAGTGCGGCGCAGGTGTGTTTATGGCTGCAATGGAAGATCGCCACTACTGTGGAAAATGTGGTTATACCTTGGTCTTCTCTAAACCAGAAGAAAGCAAATGAATGTAGATATGTAGTTTTTACATAATAAATGTCTATACGGCTATTTTTTTTAATATTTTGTCTTTTATGACCCAGGGCAGTCTATAGCATGTATATGCAGGGCATTTTTTCTAAACCCTCCTTTTGTATGATTTAATTTTAAACATATTTTTCATTGATCTTATGGAAACTTGTGTCTATTTCTCTCTGAGATTTTTATTCAACATTTACAGTTGATTCTTCCCACAACTGTGACCTGAAGATTCAAACTAGTTTTAGGTGTAAAATCAATTGCTGATTGAATTTGGCCATAATTATTAAGAGCGAAAAGTATCCCATTTAATAATATGAAGTAGCAGAGGTCCTGTTTCTATCTAAACCAGGTGCCATATCCTTGGCAGAGCAGCTTCCTAGTTCAAACCAAAAAACGCTCTTCACATGCTTTTTTTAAATTCAATTGAAATGTAAGAATGGCAACTTATCCTGTAGATACATATATAGAATTCCCATCGACTGTTACCACCCTCATTAATTTGTCAACGAACTTTTTGTTAGCAGCCTATGTGAGATGTGTCACATCCTCCTTTAGTTCTTAATTAATCATAACTGCATTATGTACACTGTTATATTGATATCTTAAGTTCTTTGCATTTAAAATAAAAAGAAGGCCATAACTGAACTTGTCAAGCAATTACTCGTCCTAAATATTAATCGCGCACTTAGCTAGTTGCTGGATTTTGGAGAATACTTTTTTCCAAATTTTTTGCAATACATCCCAATATTTTTGTAGGTTAAAGAAAAAAATCTTAAAATAACTTAATAAAAAAATATCCAAGTCTTTAAGATCTTGTCGAAGGCTACCACATTCATTTGTCGGTACCCACTTTCAAAATCCTGATCAGCCGCAATTCGCGTTTGAAGTTTTGACTCCGCCATTAGTAAGATCTTGTCTAGGGCTACCACATTCGCTTTGTCGGTACCCACTTCCGACGTCCCGTTTACTCGCAATTCGCGTTCGAACTGTTGACTCCACTATCAGTAAGGTCTTGCCGAGGGCAACTGTACTTTTTGCTTAAGTACGTTAAATAATTAGTTCAATTCAAGCTCTAAGTACTCGACTACCCCACGAAGACGCGCACCTTGCAAAGGGTGGTTAATATCGTCCCTAGGAAAAAAATTCCGTCTCACAGTTCTGTGCGTTTACACCTTTGCAACGACACCAAATTGAAAGCAATCAGACTAAAACTATAAAAGATATGAAAAAACTGAGTTAAATCACCACGTGAGTACAAGCTCGGGGATGGCGCTCCCCCCCTTTGGGTACATGTCCACTCATCGTCAAGGGCACCGCCAGGAAGGAGCAGCTACCTCCTCTGAAGAAGTGTCCACAAAAAACTTATTAATGCAAACTTACAAGATTTTTATGATAAAGATAGTGATCGAGAAGTTTACAAAAAAAACCCTTTAAACCTTTAATTAATTTAAAAAAGGGGTTTATTATTAAAAGCTTGCAAAAATGAATTAGTAAAATGTATAGAAGTTCTATACATTTTATAAATTAATTTTTGAAAATTGCAAGCTATCATAAAGTAACTTTTTTATCTGTGTAAAACAATTTTTTTTTATTGTCCAGCTCGTAGAGTTGTACACGTTGGATTTTCTACCTTTCTTATTACAATCACACTGCAAGATAGTAAAGCTTTCTGCCCTTTTGCACTACGAAAGGCGCAGACATACTTTTTTTCCGATCATTAAACATCGTACAACTTATTCGCAAATGTAAATGTGGAATTAATTACGCCATAATTAATTTTGTGGTTGCAAATAAATTTGCAAAGTGTACTAAAAATGTTTCCTATTTTTATGTTTTATATGTGCTTTTCTTTTTGGATTCTCTGAAATTATTTTTAAGTTGTTTTATGATCATAGTTTACAAGTTATTTTATTCTCAGCTCAACTCAAATTTTAAAAACTGCTAGTAAATGTAATCCGTAATCTTTTCAGCTTTATTCATTAGTATTATATTGTTTGTTTCTCTTATTATAAATGACTGGCTCTAATTCTCTTTGCGCGGGTATATAATATGCAATACATGAGGGAGGTCTCACCACGGACGTTGTCTATAGGACCCCTAATATTTCTCAATGTGATTTATTTAACAAGTTTAATTTTCTTTTTTTATTGTAAATCATGTTATTATATTGAGGAATAAACATATATTATTATTATTTGCAAAAAAGATGTATTACGTCAAGGCGCTAAAAACTCACATTTTACATCCTTTATGCCTAATGTACACTGCACAAATTTTAACGAAAATAAAATAACCGTTTTGGCGAAAAAAATATTTTAGTTTTTTAACTTTGACATTTTTTTATAATAAAATCTGGCACGACGAAACGGAACGGATTGAAAATCTCTCAACGATGTCTTGTACAGCAAATAGTGGCAATGAGAAAGTGTTTTTTGTATCTTTCCCTATCTGTCATAACACCAGAAAAAAATAAAAACAAAATCAGTAGGTAAATTTCGTTTTTCCGGAACTATTCGGAATTTTTTGATTTTCTTCAGGGCATGATAACTGTTTAATTGCACAACTTTTTCCTAATTAAAACATCGTCGTATGTTCTATGATGGTTTCCGAGATCCCCACGATAGGGACATCCTTATCTTGGACACAGTGCATATCATTTCTGCACATCGAGGCAGAGTGCATTTTGCTGCATCCCACTTTACGTCAAGGGGTGGCACCCCCTCCTACTAGTGAAAAATGTTTCATTGAAAATAAATCATTACTTAGTAAAAACGTAGTTTCTTATAAAAATAAATAGAATGGTAGTAGAGGTGTGTAGACCTAATACAAAAGGAAGTTTGACCGGCTTAAAGTGCTAGTTTAGAAACAAGAAAGGTTTTCTCCCTATGGCGAGTAACTTTAGCGCGTTTTCAATGCTTTTCAGTAGATACTCCCCAAAACAACATAGCTAGGTGCGCTATGTTTTTCTTGACTGGAAACTTCTATGGTTAACATTTAAAAGATTGCAGTCTGCCTAATCTAAACGAAAATGGCGAGGAAACTTCAAACAAGTTAAAAAGTCATAAATGACGCGAGGGTATTTTCCTCTTCTTAATATTAATCGTAGGACCGGGAAAAAAATACCGGTAGGCATGTGATCCTTACCCTTCCTTTTCAAATGAGCAGCCTATTGTCGAAGTTTATACAGTTTAATGAAAAATAGTGGACGACATACAGATACAAACAAATTTTGAAATGGGCATTAGTTTTACTTTCATTCGAAGTGCCCTAGGAAGTGCCTACATTATAAAACTTTTTTAAATGCTTTCGTAAATAGCATTACGCATTGCTACATTAGAAATTTTATTGGATACCTTCATAAATAAAACATATAGCATGCATAAACAGTATTTTTGAAAACGTCGTTAATTTTACTTATTCGTAGTGTTTCCATTTAAATATCTTCATAAATAAAAAAGTTAGCATTGCACGTGCGTTAATCTACATTTTTGACACTGCGCATGCGCAAAACCAAAAATATCGGTATGCACGAAATCCTTTTGGACCAAGCTATTGGGCTATGAGCCTCATATCGACCAAATCGGTTCAGTGGTGTAGGATACGTGTGACGGGCGGACGGCAAAGTGCAGCCAATAGCGATTTTGCACTTTGAGGAAAATACCCTAAAAGTATGATAGCGAAGAAAAAGTTTCTACACTTAGACAAGGAAAGAGAGTTTCTACAGATAACTATGACAAGAGTAAATTTAATGTTAGTGACTTTGTTATTATAAAGTATGAAAGTAATTATTATCCAGGACTTATTAAATAGCTTGCAGTATAAAGAATTCGTTTTTTTTTAATGGATAAATATAAACAATAGAATTGAAAAATGTGCACATCTGGTTCACCGGAAATGATTAAAATTTCGTAATTTAGCGCGACAATCCTAATTTATTAATACTGCATACTCGAGTTCTACAAAAAATTATATTTTGTTGATAATTTCTAAACTACAAAGCACCACTAGGAGAATATCTGTCCCACCCATTAAAAGTGCATATCACAACTCTGTAAAAAAATGCAGCACATGCCTATGCAAATCCACATGACATTGCAGCAATTAACAGATTAGCACACTTATAATTTAGAAGAAAGAGCAATAACTTTTATTTACATAGATTTTATACTTAAAAATTAACTAATGTAAAAAGGAACGATAGGTATACGCTACCATAATATTATAAAATAATACAGTGCGTAGTAATAACTATAATACAATTATCGCAGACCAGCATTTTTATAATTCTTCTTGCACTTTATCAACGGCATCTTTATGGTTTTGTATAATAGACATTATCTTACTCGTGTATGTTGGATGTATAGAATGTTGAAGTTCATTTAATGACTCCTCAATCTAAAAATGTCAATTAACACAAAAATAAATAAAATATCTTACAATACCTGTTTCAATAATTGTATGGAAGTTTTTAATACTTTCTGCCACCTTTGCATTTCAAGGGAATGAAGAGTTTCTTGTTTTTGTAGTAATTTTATCCATTCATCGTGGGATGTTGGTGGATCTCTGAAAATGTTACAATACAATGCATAAATATTACATATTATTTAATTACATTTCTCTTATCTCAAAGAATAATATTTTACTTACTTTAAAACGTGTAAATCTAATAATGTGTACGGTGGCATATCCTCCAACAACCATAATTTGTAATACAGCATCACATTTAAGACTACTAACAAAATAAGTACACCAAAGACTATTAACGTTGCTAAATCTGAGGAAAATATACCACTAGATGACACCTTAACACTAGAACGAGCACCTAAAAGTAAAAGTCAGTGCAATAGAAATTGTGGTGTAAGGTACATACTAATTGCAGGATGAACAATTTCAGCGTCCGACCTTGGTATGGCACGTACCAATCTTCGTCTTCTCGACTTCCGTTTCAAAGTAGGTATGATCTCTTCACTTTCTGTGTATAGAGCTTTACTAAGCGATTTGAAATAATCTTCAAGCCCTTGCCAGCAATTCTTCTCTATGAAACCTGCAATGAACAGCAAGAGGTATTGAATATGCGTTCCAATTTGTTTGGAAACGAGCAAACAGCATAGTGACACTTTTAAAAAGTATGAGTAGGAAAAAGAAAAATGCTTGTTTGATAGACGATCACCTCAGTAGTGCATTACAACTATAGCATTTGCTGCCTGCCTACTAGGTAGTCATTTCATTTGAAGACCTTGCTGTGCTTTAATTCACTGTTTCTAACACAACTCCAGACTGAATTTGTTGCAATTTGTTGAATAGGTCTTGAAACGTTTAGTGATTTTCATTAATTAGTCAGTGTTATCATCAAGGCCCAGAGGTTCAAGGTGGGACCGGACCGACAGTGTCCGAAAGTAATTAATTTGAAAGGTAGTAACAGGGGAACAGGCGACCTTTGTAAACGCTCAAGATATGTTTGCGGATTTTGAAATTTGTAAAAAGCAATGAGTGATAAACGGTATTAAATTCCAAATAGCGACAGGTAAGTTAGAAGCATGTGACATTATCTGTGACAAATGTAGCACATTAGATAAAGGGATGACAAATAAATGATAAAAAAGTACTCGAGGGTAATTAGCAACAGAAAGTAACCTTTGAGCACTTAAATTAAAATGATAATGTGAAGTATGTGAATACAGAGTACCTATCGATAGCTTTTTATAAATGGTATTTTAACAAAAGTGCATTAAAGATATGACATAATCAATCAAGGCAAATATTCTGCGATAAATTTTTTGTTAGGTGTAGCCACATATTTTTTAAATGACATATAACCCAAGTCACATAACCGGTGAATCATTACAAACTAGGTATTCTGAATCATGCCATAGATAAATAATGTCTACTAGTACTAGTACTTAAGTACTAAGAGATCATTATGTTACCAGGGAAACATTCTGGAAAACATGAGTTACCTACCTTTTACCAATCCCCAAACTGTTTTCTTATATTTAATTTGTGCGCAAACAAGTAGGGAAGTCTGTGATTCTGATACTCGCTTCAGACAGTAGTGGATGGACACTGAAAACGTATCTGCATAAGGAATTCCACCGTTGACTGATTCAATATCGATAGCGTACAAAGTTCCAGCTTTACTGCATGGAAGCATAACCTGTAAAAAAATTTTAATTGATAACAGATGTTAAATTGACATTTCAATAGGATTAAAAAAGTAGGGTAAGTGTCTCTTAGACCTTATCAGATGAGAACACCAGGCGACGCCATTGTTGGCGTCGGCAAGTGTTGCCAATATGGGCAGCCAGTCACGCCACCGGCGGCACGGCCAGAGATTGTTGATTCAATACCCAGTGACAATTCTTGGCCACCGGTGTCTCTAGTGTAATAGGCTCCATAAGAACAAAAGTCAAGTAAATCGTCAGACCACCGGTTGCGTGGCCATGTGATCACTTTAACAGCAAGGGTGGATTAATTGAAACAAATCATTGTGCATTCTAATGGCATCTGTCATTCTTATTAAAAATGGGATGCGGAGCACACAATAAAATGAAGTTCAGAACAGAATACAATGCTGTTTCTATGGAAACGACAGAAGAACCTATGCTTGCTATTTTGGATGTCTAAATTATATACCTTTTTGAGAAGTTTTGTAATGATTTTTATGTTTTCTGCTATAAAATAAAGTTTTGTATTATACACGAGGACAAAGGGAAACTAACCACCTCGTAAATCTTTCACTCGATGGTTAAAACATCCCTTTATCATCTTGTATAATAAATAACTATTGTCAATTCAGTGTACTTTTTTAAATAAAATTAAATTGAAGACTAAGTAATGCAAGACTGTAAATTTGTTGTGTGCAACAACAGTATTGAGAATAGTACAAGCAAAAAATGGTTCCATGTATTATATTTCTTTATCTTGTAATGGATCAGTCATTAGGGAAATGAAATGACCCTCTCATTTCAGTTTGAAGATCCAATACATTCAAACAGCGTTCTCCATGTGGACAAGAATGTCTACTGGGCATTGAACAAAGGAGTTCGTCGACTTTTGTGTGATAGCTGAAAGTGAAATCCTGTTTTTTATTCGAAAGAATGGCAGCAGGAACAGTCGTAATGCTTGAAATAGCCTAGAAAGAAGTACTGTACTTGTACTCGTTCAGGGCGACCATTGACCTACCAAACGGGTGAATATCATGAGAATTATAAGCAGAAAAAATGACCGTTTTAAGCGTTTACATTATAAAAACTCAATAATTCAAAAATTTTGAAATAGACTATACCAAGTTACCCTTATTTCTTGGGCTGAATATGACAGATATAAAAATAGAGGGTTTCCATTTAAAAAGTAGAAGTGTGTTCGAGATAAGAGGGTTGTAACGAAGCACCCGTTTCCAGTCTTATAATGATCACACTGTCTATCGACAAATAGTTGGCACTTTGTTACTAAAAAACCATACTTTCTGAATTTAGTTATTTGCTGTACGAGACGAGGGACTGAACTGTGTGTGTTTTCATTTTTTTTAATTGTTTGTCTTACCAACGATAGCGCAGGTAAGTTTCGTATTGAATTTATAAATTTTGCAACCGAGAGATATTTCGATTGTTTTTGTTGGGTCCGCAAGCTACAATACAATGCAATACAATCTATTAAGATCTTTGAAACGAGCAACCAATATGCAACAACACAACATATGCAAATATGATTGATTAGCAAACGAATAGGAAAATTCGTGATTCAATATTTAGAAATCTAGAATTTTTCTATTTTTACCACCCGCGCACGTTAGTAAGGGAGGTATTGCATTGGGACAAAAAATAACCCACCACTTTTTTTGACGGAAATACACGGATTTAAGCACCAGGAATCTGTATCAAACAAAATCTCGATGCTGTCGATTTGTCTGTATTCCCATTTCTGTCTAAACGGCTGAAATTTGGTACACGTATTCTTAGAGATTAAAGAGCTGAAAAACTTTTGGGTAGAATCGCGCATGCGCAAGTGTGCCAAATTCTCATTTCCGGCTAAACGGCTGAACCGATTAGAACCAAATTTGATACACATATTTTTAGACATAAAAGGGCAGAATCACGCATGCGCAGGTGGTATCTGTGCTAGACGCAACACAATGTTTTGTATATCAACCACCTTTTATATTGTCATACAGCAAATTGATGGCTTTTTTAAATATCTTAAAAAACATAGTATTGCTTAGGGGGAAACAAGTACCATTTTTGATGTACACCAAAAATTCAAATTCAAATTAATTCACGTTAATTCGAAATAATTCACGTAAATTCAAATTAATTCCCGTTAATTCCAATTTATTCACGTTAATTCAAATTGAATCACGTTAATTGACATTAATTCTCGTTAATTCTAATTAATTCACGTTAGCTCAAATTAACACAGAGGGGTGTACACCAAACATTCAAAGTTATGTTTCCATCTAGAATTTTTCCAAGGCAAATTTTTACCAGGACTAGAGTTTGTGAGTAAAATATTTCAAGGGCGGATTTTTTCTGAGGACAACTTTTTTACACAAGTATACCAGGGAAAAATTTTCCAAGAGCAATTTTATCATCTTAAATTTTCAAGACGAGAATTTTTCAATACAGAATTACCCCAGGGCGAATTTTTCGGAGACGAAATTTTAAGTGCCAAATATCCCAAGGCCTATTTTGTTGGAGGCTAAATTTTCCGTATGCGAATTTTCGGGAAATGAATTTTTCCACGACAAATATTCCCAAGATGAATTTTGAGGGGACAATTTTTGTGGGTCAAATATTTCAAGGGCGATTTCTTTACGTTTCTGGAGACAAGTTTTCCACGCAAGTTTCCGGGGCGAGTTTTTTAGCGAGTATTCCAGGGCAACTTCCAACGCAAATTTTTCTTTTGACGATTTTTTATATTCGAAAAATGATTTTTTCAACATTTTCTGTAGACGAATTTCCTTTCCTGGACGAATGTTTCAAGGGGCCTACATTTTCCGTAGGTAAATTTTTCAGAAGAGAATTTTTTATAGCGAATTTTCCCAGAACGATCTTCCTTGGAGTTTGTGGGAGTCAAATATTCCAAGGACGACTTTATTCGGTAGGCGAATTTTTTAGGAAAAAAGTTTTCCAGGAAGAACTCTCCCGAAAATTTTTGGGGCTGAGGGCCGGCCCGTGTGGCGCAGTTCAGTTAAAGCTGAACTGTGGTGCTAAGGGTCCCTGGTTCGAATCCGGGTTCGGGTATGGATATTTGTAAATGTATAGTTGGTTGGGTTGGAAGAGCAGCCTTGGCTGAAACCCCGCCCACTCAAAAATATTCCCTGTATGAATTTACGAGTTGAATCTTGCACGGAAGCAATTTAAAAAGGCAATTTTTTCATAGCGAATTTGTCTCGTATGTTTTTTTCGGAGGACAAGTCTTTAGGGGTCAAATATTCCAGGGGCGATTTTTAGAGTGCATCAAATTTTCTGGAAACGAATTAATTATTCACGCAAGTATCCTAGCGAAGGTAGATTTTTAAGAGCCTTTTTTTATGAAAGCGATTTTTCTAGGGAATTTTCAGGACATTTCCAAGGGCGATTTTTTACAGGAATCGGCAATTTTCGAGAAACGAATTTTCCAGGGCAAATTTTGTCAGGACAAGTGTTTGTGGGTCAAATATTCCAACGGAGATTTTTTCGAGACTACATTTTCTGGGGGCAAATTATTCACGCAACTATTGCTAGGAAGAAGTTTTCCAAGAATGATTTTTTCGTGTCTAAATTTTCAGGACAAGAGTTTTTCCATAGCGAATTTTTCCGGGGCGAGACGTGTTTTTAATGTCAAATATTCTAAGAGCGATTTTTTCGGGGCTAAATTTCCAGGACACAAATATGTTATACAATTATTCCAGGAAAGAATTTTCCGGTGCGCATATCCCCAAGGCGCCTTTTTCAAGCCTCCATTTTCCGGAAGCGAATTTTTCCATAGGGAATTTTCCCAGAAGAAATTTTCCGGGAACAAATCTTTGTAGATCAAATACAATAGTGATTTTTACGAGGCTACACTTTCAGGATGAGAATTTTTCTATAGCGAATATCTCCAGTGAGAAACGTTTCCGGGAACAAGCCTTTAGGGATGAAACATTCCAAGGGCGATTTTTTAAGCGCAACCAAATTTTCTGGAGCGAATAGGACAATTTTTTCAGGAATCGATGATTTTTTTAGAAATGAATTTGTCTTAAGGGGAACAAGTACCATTTTTGGTGTACACCAAACATTCAAATTCAAATTAATTGACGTTAATTCAAATTAATTCACGTTAATTCAAATTAATTCACATTAATTGTAATTAATTCACGTTAATTCTTATTAATTCAGGCTAATTCAAATTAATTCAGAGGGGTGTACACAAAAAATTCAAAGTTGTTTCCCTCTAGGGTATTGCATTTGTGAAACAAAAGTTGCCGCCAAATTCCAGTCAAACCGGAAGTTTCAATATGCGATCGGATAAATCGTAATGTCACATATAAAATTATATTCGGCAAGTTTTTCGTATCTCACCACATAACAGAGATATTGAGGTGACTCTCTTATCTCGAACACACTGTATACATCCCTCTGGTTCCATATTCCACTGCAAGGAATAGTCAAGAGGAGCAATGTGATCGCACACGAGAAGAATTGAATAGATGTGGATTTCGAGTAAGGTCGTCTATTTTAATCTCCTCTATCGCCCACTATTTTTTTGACATGTTTACTTATTATTTACGATCTATTACTTTAAACCTCCAAAATCATTGAAAACATTGAAATGGTCCATAAATATTCAAATCACGATATTTTACACACTAATTTGCGCGATTCATATATAGGCAACATTTGTTATGTTTGAGGACCTTGAAATAGAAGAGCCCGTACAGATCCATACCCCCCCTCCCTTTAATCCAAAAATGACAGGAAAAGAGTCGATTCAATACGTTTTTTTGCACACCTCAATGACTCGGAACAAATATTCTGTCACAATCAGAACGGCAAACCAGAGAGAAAAATTCCAAGGTTAGAAACAGAACCAAAATAGCATTGTCAAGTGCGATTACATATTCATTTATTGTAATTAATTAATGAAAATGACTACAACAATTACCTACGCTATTATAAAAAATTGCCAACTATTTAATTATTATTGTAAATGCGAATACAGTGAAT